GGATTTAGGCTGCAAATTGCCTCAGATACTTGGAAAAATTTTATTTTCTGCCTGAGTCATTTGGGCTCTTCCTTTAAAGAATTCAGGGATAAGCTTCTTGTGTATAGGTATATTTTTATATGCAACTGTATCCCCGTGCAGTTTGACTTGCTCTCCTCCACTGTCTGTGCTGCCTGTGAGTCTTGTGTGTGATCTCTGCAGGAGGAGGCTGCTCTCTGCAGGTTTTCTCCCAGCCCTCTCTCTGGAGTCTCCAGGCCTTCATGGTCGGTTGTACACGGATCACTAAGCAGTTTCCTTTCTCTAAGGGCACCTCTGTTCTATGTCGAAGTGAATCTTCAGCAGCTCCTGTGTGATTTGCTTTCTGCTCCTTTGTGTGCACAGCCCAGTAAATAAGGAAGGGGATGGAAAGCACATTGTAAATGTGGTGACAGCTCTTGAAGAACGAAACAGTCTCTGAAAGCTGCCTGTCTGTCTTAACCCTTCTCCTGCATAGTTTTACTTTCTTTTCTACCATTTTCTCCTTCTTCTTTTCTTTCTCCATCTTTCTCCATCCCTCCCCCAAATTCTTTAACACTCTTTTCACACCCACTCCTTCCTTTTTGGTGCTTGCTGCTCTGACAAGAGTTCCCCTCTCCCCTATGACCCCCATTTCTCATTCAGGGGGGAACTGTTTCAATGCCTGTTCAGGAGCAAATGAAAAGGGGGATTCATTCTGTTTCTGAGTGCATGTCAGCTGTCTGCTCGTATCACTTCTCTGCCCATTCTTCTCTCTAACCCCAGGTACCATGCATTTAGAAAGCATCCTGCTGTTTTTCTAAATGCTTTCAGCAGGGTAGAATCTGTTCTGGGAAGATTTTAGTGCTTATTGATGCCAGCAAAGGAGGGGCAGTTTTTTATTTGACATCAGTTGTTTAAACAAACAAACAAACAAAAAAGGAACAATATCCAGTCAACTATTCTTAAGTTCTTCTCAAGCTGAATTTAGGGCCCTAATTCTAGTTTTGTTCCTGCTTGTTGAAGAGAGGCTCTTTGTGCTGTGCTCACAGGCCTGCTGGCCTGACTAATGTACTGGAATTGATGGGCAGGTCTGTCCCTTTGTGCAAGATCTGTTCCTTTTGGCTTTCCCTTCACAGGTGGGCACAGCACAACTATTGAGATCAATGATCCTGCATCAAAGCTGCTTGGATATGGACAGCTGTGTGAGAGTCCTGTCTGTTACTCAATTAAGGGATCCAGATGAGGGAGCCCTGTGGCTCAGGAAAATGGGAATTTGCAGGCTCTTGGGGAGGAACAGGATTTCTTCAAGCCATGAGGGACCTTGTCTTGGCTCAAAAGCCTTTCACCAAACTCTTCTCCAGCAGCTGGATCCGCAAGAACACTGTGGGTGTATGGCTCTAGAGAAAGTGTTCTTCCTTTTGGTCTCTTCCTATATTCTCCTTTTAGCAAGGATTTGCTTCCATATATATTCTTAGTCAATGTTTAACTCTTTTCTTTGGTGTAGGCATTTGGGGTTTGGAGGCTGTTAGGATATCAATGACTTTCTTTCTGCATGCAGGAACTTCACAGCCTCCAACAGCTTCTCCAGCACTAGTTCAGGAATTACTCTATAAGGCTCCACCTGCTTCTCTGTTGGGAATGCCAGGTGGGTTCTTCATCAGAGGTCCCTTGACAAAATGCTGCTGTGCTCTGTACAAGGCAAAAATCAGTTGGATACAGTTCTGTGATCGTACTCTGACCTACTGCCTTCCTTGCTGCTGCTGCCTCCTGCTCCCTGAAGCCTTTCTTCACTTTGCATTCCCCGTGTGTGTTCCTGGCCGTGCTCCATAGGAGACATTTTTGAGAACTTATTCCACACTGGTAAATTGTAATCTACCTTGCCCAGTCTACATTCTGTGTTCCTGGGCAAAGCATCATCCTCTAAGATACTTCTATTGGGATAAATTGGTAAATCTGAGCTTTACTCAGAAAAGGAAAGAATGTAGCAAAATTTCCAAGGGATAGTAACAGCATTTCCTCTTCTGTGCAAGAGGGAAGGTGATCCTTCTGTTTCAGGAGATGTTTCAAAGGAGGGAAGAGAGAGTGCGCATTCCCTGTGACAAGGACTATTTTAGAAGGGAAAGTTAATTGGTGGGAACTTATGGGAAGCAAAAAAGTAAAAGTAATAGCCTTTAATTGTATTGAAACCTGAGGTGTTGCATTGAAAGTGGGAATGCCAGAATTTTAGTTAATGTTTTTATTGGTTGGTGATGCAAAATATTTAGTGTTATGGATGTTCCAGCTTACAAGTGATTAATAATGACTTTGCATATAAAGAATGTAGTAGAGACCTTAGGGTGAGACCAGAGACAGCCCTTACTTCTAGCTTTTTAAAATTTTCAAACTAAAACCACTGTCAGTATATATATGTATATAGGTCACTTTCATGTTCATGCCTTATAAAACCTGGCTTTAATTTTTGTGTTGATACACTGGTTTATGTATTTATGTTTGTCTACTGTGTTTAGCATGGTGCATATAGAGATGTCCCTGATGGGGAACATCCTAAAAAGGTACATGTATACGATTTAATAAAACATGAAACGTCTGAAATGTTTTGTTAGGCAAAGGCATGTGATAGGTACCACTGTATCTTTTGGAAGCTGGGCTCTTGGAGTTCCTTGGGAGACTTTTTAGGATTAAGCTCTCTTCAGAACCCAAAGCACACCAAATTTAGCATCTCATCTCAAAAACCTTCTCATACACTTAAAAAAGTTGTAGTGTTTATGTGAAAACTGTGATTAGGACAAATCTGAGTTTGTCTCCCTGATTCCCTTAGAGCTCTGAATTCCTAGTTATATCCTTATACCCCCGTTATATCCTTAGAACCGTACGGGGGGACCTGGGAGGGCGTTCCCAGCCATGGAAGCAGCTCTCTCACCAGAGATTCTGGTTTGTCTCACAATTTAAACTAAACTGACACAAGAGATTTTGGTTTTTTCCTGCTGCATTTTGCTATCCTTAAACCATCAATAATTTAGGATGCATGTACTGCAAAGCACCTTGTTTTTGTGGTTCATGCTGTCTGTTAATGCCTCTGTGCTGATGTCTGTCTTGTGTGCATGTGCAACGGGGCTTGATATGTTTATCCATGTTGTCACGTCCCTTTTAGACATTGGTGGTGACAGATACATCCTGCCACTGGATTTGGCCGTGTCTCTCTGGAGAATGGTGTCTTTGGAGTTGCCTGGATAGCCCTTCCACCGCTCTGTTATTTCCCCCCTTGCTCTCCTTACTTAACCCAGGACTTATTATTTGTGTGTTTGTATGTATGAACAAAAATAGCCCAGCAGAGTCTCTGCTCATTTTTGTCTTCCTATCCATATCTATTTTTTTGGTCTAAATACAGCTTTTCAGACTGGGTTTTGTTGCATCGGTACAGCTGTTGTGGAAGCAGCAGCTATTGAAATGGCTTTTAAAAGCAGAAGGTGTCTGGAGTGGGTACATATTTTTGGGTTGGTACTTGAAGTATTCAGTGTTGCTCCTTTCAGGACCAACTATAAAGAGGTTGCTATTTAAAAATCTCCTTTCAGTGTAGTTACATGAGTTCTCTGTGCATCTTGCCTCACTGTGTGCTGATGGGCTCTGCTCCTGACTTCATCTACCCAGGATGAAGGAAGAAGTTCCTCAGGGTCAGCCACACACCTGCTGCAGGTTCCAGCTGGTCCCATCAAGAGGAGCTCACTGTTTTTTTGAGGACTCTTTCAAATGTATTTTACTGAAGACCAACTATATTTTTACTGCCTTCTCCAGGTTTCAGTTGGTGACCTAGAAAAGCTTTTTGGTCCGTTCACATCCACCTCCCAGCAATGGTGTGGCATCAGAAAGTTTTGCTCTTCAGGTGCCAAAACTGGCTCAAGGGTAGTGCCCCCCACACCACACTGGGCACAGCACTGGGCAACTGAGGCAGGTTGGGCACAGTCACTCTGTGCAGCAGCATTTCCTGACCACTGTTCCCCAGCCCACAGGAAGCCTTGTGGCTCTGCAAAGAGTTTGCCAGTTGTGATTTCCACAGCTGAGAGAGAGGTGGCTTGGCCAGAAGTGATTTTCAGGAGTGTAGTGGGATTGTGAAGCTGTTACATGTCCATTTGCTGGGTCTGAACGAGCCAAGTGAACCTGCATTTTGGGGTTCACCTGAGGTGGGGAATGGAAAATGGACAACGTTCATAAACAGCTCTGATATTTCTGTTTAACATGAATGTATGAGTAGAAAATTAACAACCTTAATCTGTCGACTCTGGGGGAAAAAGCACTAAGGCTCATTAGAGGTTTTTCTGACAAGGATCAGGAAAATAGTGTTTCCTAAGTTTTAATTTTCCCATGGAGAGGCTGAGAAAGTCTAGTGGTTAAAACACAAGGCTAGCATCAGGTTGGAATTCTCTTTCTAACCAAGTAATTTAATTGTCTCTTCTTGTGTTATATGAGAATAACATCAGTGGCAATTTGAGTAGCTTGAAATCCTTGGGTGGAATGATCTGAAGAACTGTAAACTGTTATCTATGAACCAAAATCCCAACTCTGTGTCTGCCTGTGTCCTCAGCCAATTTAGCAGCTCAAGTACTTCTGTGTCTTGTGAGCTGAGACAAGATACCCTGACATTTAAAAAAATCTCCCCACCCCAGCTTGAAGAATCGTCTCTTCCTTTACTTATTTTTCTTTTCTAAGAAGAATAGGAAGCATAAAATGAAGTGGTTATGCTATTTTTTTTCCTCTCTAACTTTGATTTTTGAAATGGGCTATTTTTAAGTTATTAAATCTTATGCCAGATACCCAAATTGTGGTTAAGAAAGGAGGTGAATGTGTCTGGCATTTTCCAGCACAGGCAGGGCCATATCCAACCTAAAATGAGAGCTGCCAGCCCTGGGAGGCGGTGGGAGATGTCGGCAAGCAGCGGGCAGCGTGTCTGAGCCCAGCAGCCCGTGTCAGCTCTCCAGAGGTCAGACCACAGCGCTTTTTGCGTTCGTACATCTCCTCATCTCCCCTCCTCCCTTTTCTTTCTCCCTCTCCGTGTGTATTTTGTCTCCTCCTCCCGTGCGTGTCTGTCTTTCCATCCCCACTCTTCTCCCTCCCCTCCCTCCGGATCGATTGCTGGCCGAGATCTCCAAAGGGCCGGGCACTTGGTGGGATCGTCCTTGTTCCTCCCGTGTTTTGCCGAGTCAAGGGTATCTCTTCGGAGGCTCGGGGAGATGCTGTTCCTGGGGATGTGATTGCATAGCAACACAGCAGCCGGGGCGGTGGAGGAGGAGAGGCAGGCGCGTGCAGCAGTGCTCAGCCCCAGCATGAATCCCTGTCACCGGGGCTCCTCTGCTGATTCACACAGACAGCCCCTCTCCCCGCTCCCGAAGCCCGGTGGCCGCTGCCCCTGCGCCTCAGACCTGGTGGACTCGGAAGGTAGGCCATGACAAAAATTTGTTTCGCGCTCAGATCCTGGCTGGGCTGGAAAAGGGGGAAAATATGGACAGATGGTTAACCTCGGAAATACGCTCCTTGGGCGTGTGCGCGTGTGTAGATCCCATCACAGCAACGCTGCCCATGCCTGTGCGGGTGAGGAAACTTGTAGAGAAGAAGAGAAGGGTGTCAGGGTGGGAGCAAGAGAGGTGGCCAAGACCATTTCCACAAGGGAGAAACTGGAGACCAGTTAGAGATGCGGATTCCCAGAGCAAACAATAGTAGCCGGCATCCCGGCTTCACCGGCTTTGGTGCTCTGCACACTGAAGGCTTATTTACCCTGGCAGTGTTTCCGCCTGAGCTGAAGGACTGCTCTAGGCAGGGTGCGTGGTGGCCTTCCAGCATCTTCTTGGGAGGGTTAGACAGCAGGACAAGGCAGGGACCCAAATATTTCTAGAGTAGTAGGCAAGGATCAGGCTATAGTCCCAGCTCTGCCCTTTTCATTCATTACCTTACACAGTCCAGCCTTGCTCCTTTATGTGTCCACCCTCCCCTCCCCCAGCTTCTCCCCACTCCCTTTCACTCGTTGTTCCTCCTCCTCCCTTCTCAAGGTCTTCTCTTGCCACCACTGACTGTCCCTTTGATGCAGGCAGCCCTGACCGACTGCAGAACTGCCTGCAGGAAGCACGGGACCTTTCTTGCTCCCCAGGGCTCAGCACTCTGCCTCTCTCTCCATACCAGACAGGGTAGCCTGGGCTGTGGTTTGTCAAGGCTTAGTGCCACAGATTATTATGGGTCCCCAGTCCAGCCTGTTCCCTTCAGTCTTCCCTCTGGCACAGCATCCCAGCTGGTGGAACTGGCAGCATTGTGTTTGTGGGGTTTCAACACTGAGACTGCCCATGTACAGTGACAGGGGTGTGGAGCAATTACTCCCACACTTCTAAATGCCACTCTGTCTCTGGGAGAAACCAATGTTTGTTTGGATTTTGGTTTTTAGTGTCGGGGAAAAAAAAAGCCGAGTCAAATTTTTGTCAGTCTGTTTTCCTTCTGCCCTAATCCAAGGTTCTCCTCACCTCCCTTCCTGCGCCTGTCACCGACCTGTCTGGACCCCTGAGAATTATTGTTTGATTATTCTCTGTAATGGCCTTCCCTGTCTGACCAGAGTACCCTTGTTGAGGAAGCTGTGTGAGGTCCCAGCTACCAGGTTCAGTTGTGCCAGGAGGGTTCCTGTTTTCCTGGCACTTGTGTGTAGCTCGTGTGCCTGCCGTGGCTCTGGTGCCATCTCACATCCTCCCCTGCCAGTTCCCTGTGCTGAAAGCTGCCTTCTCTGCTGCTGTGGGAGTTGTCCAGGCAGGGCTCTGGAGATGGCACTCTGGACAGGGACTAGACTGTAGCCATGCAATTTCAAACTATCTCATTTTGCAGCACTGTGTCCGGGAACGTGGGTGCCTGGAGTGCTGGGATGGGAAGGTGTTGGAGTGGGTGCTGTGATGTGATGCTCTGTTTAGGTCCTCTTTCTCAGCTGAAGAAGCTGAGAGGAGGACCTTGTCTCTGTGTTAATACCTGAGGTGGATCAATGCTGCTCACTAAAATTGGCCAGGACTGTAACTGTGAATGGGGGCTCAGGCTGGAGTGGCTCTTTGCAAAACTAAACAAAGTGAGATAGGGAAGGGATTAAATGAACAGGTTCAAACAAAAGCCCTGAGTTCTGCAGACACACGGTGAATTTCTGAATATAATCACATTTTGAGAAATGTATTCAAGGCTTCCACTTTAGCCTGCATGCCTATAATAAAAGCATAAAAAAGGAATTTTAAGTCTCATGAAGCAAGACATACTGACCAGAAAATGTTCAGTCTTAAACCCCCTCATTTTCACAGGTGTATAAAGATGAAACTGATCTTTTCAGAATTGAGACAAAAGAGCTCCATCCCATTTTCCTCTGTTGTTTCCCTTAGCACAAGAATAAGGTCACTGACACATCTCAAGCAGGGAAAAGAAATGTGATTTCATGGGGCATACAACCTGCTCATAAAATTCATGGCCTCAGAAGCCCAGAGAACCTGGTGCTTCGACTGGGAGTTTATCATAAAGACAACCCTGAGGGAAAGGTGTAATATTCAATTTAGAGAAATTGGTACTGGTTTTATACTGAGAACGAGAAACAAAGTGCCAGGGAAGGCAGAAGCCAGTGCAGCATCACCTGAGCCATCCCCGAGTGGGGAGTGTGCTCTTCCCACTGTTGTTGATCAGTGACACAGTGTGGCAATGGGGGCTGTGCTTTTCACAGTGCAGCAAGTCTTGGTTCCTGCCTCCAACAGCAGGGAAGGGAAAGTTCAGGCGCTTAGAGGAGAAAGACAAGACTTGAGATTTTTAGTGGGTGTAAGTTGGCAGGATTCAGGGCTACAGGAGCCAAGTTTCTGAAGAAGTGTTTTCAATTTTTATGGCTGGTCCAACCTTCTTTCAATCATTAGGCAAGTTCTTGCCCCCTCCCCATCCCTTTTGTGAGGTTGCTCCTTCCCCTTTTCCTGCTCCCTTTGTCTGTCAGGTCAGTCGACAATTTTTTCACTAGTACAACGGAGCTGTTGGCTCACAGCTGGGTCCTCTGGGTGCTCGAGTCATTATCCTTTAATCAAAGGAGGAGAAGAGATGGGAAGAATTCCTAGGAAAAGTGAGCTTTGGAGAGAGCAACTTAAAACCCAGCTGGGACTCTGAAATGATGTGTGAAAGAAATTTAGATTTCAGTCTTCCTAAATAAATTCCCGTAAGATATTTTTAAGCAGAGAGAGGGGTAGTCGGTTCTGCATGGCTGTGTTGTGGGCATACACCCACACTCACCTGGTTAGGTGGAGACATCATCATCACAGTTTCCCAGTGCAAAATGAACTGGTGAAATTTTTCAGCTTGAGATTTTGTGTGAACGTGCATGTTCTGTTGCTTGGGAAGATGGAGAGTGACTGAGCCAGCAGAGGAGATGCTGCTTCTTTATTAAGACGTGTGGGACCTGCTTATCCCTTGAATTAAAATAACATTTTGGCTATGAGTTAAAAGGCTAAGTGGTCATTTAAGAAAGCAACTCATTAGATGGGACAGTCCCCCCTCCACCCACCCTCAGTGATTAAGACATCTTTTGTGCCACTCACTACCAGACACAGCAAAGATTTTATGTTACTTCTTAAGGACAGGTGATTAATCCAAGGACCCTTCATTCTAATTAATAAAGGGGACCAGGTTCTTTGGCACCTGGGATTTTTAGCCCTTGGATGAAGGGGTTGAAAATGCCTGGCTATGTGAAAGACAGCTGATAGTCTTTTTCCCCTTTTGTTGTACACAGGAGCACGTAAGAACCAGGAGAATTTTGGTGTTTTTGTTTGTTTGTTTGTTTTTGTTTTTTGGTTGTTTTTTTTTGGGGGGGGAGTGTGTTTGGGTATCTATTCCTGGTTTGTAAAGAGATGGAAATTAAGGACCCACACTCTAAGAGGAAGTTGTGTTGTTTGTATGTTGGTCCCAGTGGGAGAAAGATTTCTCTTCCTTCTCTCTCACCAAACCCTGACCAGTGGGGCCTTGGGAAGTAGGTTGTCTGGCCCTTGATCTCAGGCTTAAACTAGTTACTTACATGTGCAGAAAAACAACTTTTGCTGAAACAGGATGTGCTATTGGGCAGTCCAGGGAGTCCTGCTGTCTGACAGCCTGGGAATGCTCCCTTTGTTAGCGTCCACACGGGAGCTGAACTCTGAAATATCCACAAGCCTCCCACCTTCCCCCTTAAAGGACACTGAGCATGCTGAGCTGAAATGTTATTACTTCTCTTGTACAGTAAGTTAAACAACAACAAAATCATTAACATTTCCAGCAGCAGGGAACATGCTTGTATTTCCATCCCCCTCATGGGATAAAGGCTGAGCTGCCTTGCCTCAAAATTTTCCCATATTTTTTTCCTTATAGGCCAAGATCTGAAGTGGAAAGTTTCCACCCGGAAAGAATGTTTTGGAGGAAATTAGCAATTCAAAGCATAAGCTTGGTGATCAAGAGACCTCTTGACTTATATGCTGTATTTGCTGCTGTTAAATGTAGTAGAGAGCCAGAAATTCAACATCTGATGTTAGACTCTACCTTCTGTGTCAGGTTCCTAATCCTGGGGTTACCTTGAGCTGCAGCGGGAATTCCCCTGATGTTTGGGAGAGTTTGGATATGGGTTTGTGTCAGGAGGATTTTAAACAAATGCAGCAAAATTGCAGAATTAGACTGTGCAACACATGCACCAGTGGCAGGCTGTCACCTTCCTGTGGGCTGGGATGGAGAGGAGATGCTGCAGGAGATGGGACACAGCCTCTCCAGCCAGCCAGGGTTGCTGTAAAGCAGGAAGAGAACAGAGACCCCCGAGCAGAGCAGTGAGTTGTGTGGTAGAGCTGAAGCAGAACTGGCTGAGCAAAGGCCATTCCAGCTGCCTTTGCCAGACTGCCTGTAAAGCAGGGAGTGAGGCAGGCTCTCCAGTGCTGAATTTGTAACAGATACAGTTCCTGCAGGAAGAGGAAAAAGGCAATTATTTTGGTTTTAATACACTCTAGTGCCCAAGCATTCAATTGTTGAAATGCAGTGTCAGGATTCTGGGCTTTCTTATTTTTCAACTAAAGGATCGTGGTCTCAGCTAGGCTAAATAGTGGTGGCTTAGTTACTAAAATGTTTGGAAGCCCTAACACAGCACTGTGAAACATCTAATGCTTCGTTTCTTAAGGTGGGCTGAGAGCAGAGGCAAGTGTTGGGTGCTTTTAATGTGGGAGGATGCAAAAGAGTATTATATAATGAGGCTGCACCTGATCCTTCTGAGGACCAACCTGACCACCTTTGGGTGAGGATCCTCCAGTGAGGATCAGGTGAGACACACCAGTGGAAAAGGTTTCACTCCTTGCCCTCTCCACTGTGTGAGTGCAGTGCACCAGTGCCTGCCCCGTGGTGACTCTAAAACTGCTTCCTGCAGTGTCCTCCTGTGGAAATTCTCACCTGCTTCTACTTACCTCGGCCTTGATGTTTGTTCTTCTTGCACAGAAATGTGTCCAGGAGACCAACTTTGCTTTATAACTGTTTGGACAGCCTGACCTGAGTCCTGTGAAGGAGGATTTCCAACTCCTTTTCAAGTAGAGGCTTGTACAAGGCTACAATAGGACGATAGTTTTAGTTGTCAACACCTAAATCTGTTTTGATTGATGTCCTGCTGGGGTCTCCAGCACCAACCTAAAGCAGAGTGCAGAGGGTGAATGGGGGTGAGGAGGAGGCCAAGTGGGTCACAGGTGTGGTTCTTGACAGATATAGGCATCAGCAATAGGCATTTAGCCAGGAAGCACCCACAAGATATCTGCTCCACGTGCTGCAGTGCCCAGACACAGTGCTATAGTGCAGCACTAGAGCAGAAGTGCAAGATTTGAAGCTATTTTGTGTCTTGACAGAAAATCAGAGCAGATCAAGAGCATTTCTGCTCTCCTGGTTCCTGTAACAGCAGGGAATTTGGCAAGGGGTTGTATGAAGCTGCTGGTTTGCTTGCAGACGTGCCTCTCTGTCTGGTTGTCTCTCTCTCCCACCGAATGTCCTCCTTTGTGCTGGCTGCTGTGCAGGTCAGTTAGTTCCACATTACTGTGGGTTCTCCACCTCTGGGCTTTTTCTTTGTTTTTGCAGAGTGGCAAAGAGCAGATGAAACATTACCATCACTGCAACTTCATTGCAATGGGCCACAGAAGAACTGAGGCCTCAGGAGGGCACCTGCAATGAGATGACACAGAACCTCACTGGCAAAAGCCATGGGTTTCCCACTCGTGGGGAAGAGCTCAAAGGCATTCCTGTGTTAGGCTTTGAGGCAAAATAACTTTTCACGCCTTGAAAATCGTGTCTCTGCTATGCTGACTGTCACCCAGAGGTCATTTAGAGGAACAGAGCCCATATAGCACAAGCACTGGAGGAACAGGGTGTGGTGTTACCTGCTGGCAGAAATCACCCACTAAACCCTTGGAGTTGAATGAGGTGAATTTGCCCCAAGGGGCTGCGGGGCTTTGAAGACCCTGGGTTTTGTAATTATTAATGTGTCCTCATGATCCCCTGCCTGCATGAGGAAAGGAGCTGGGTGAGGGTGTTGTGATGCACAGCCTGTAGCGTTTATTGGTGCAAATGGGCGGGAGGGAGAGAGGACAAGACCTTGGATTGCTGGCATGTTGGAGAGCTCAGCACAAGCTGTTCTGCTGGAAAGGGAGAGAATTATGGCTGTAAAAAACTGCTAAGAGATTAAAAAAAAATCATAACAGGATAATCTGTTCTTTTAATGTGTGTAATGGAGGGGAGAGAGGCAGTGAAAGCTCAGGCAGGAAGAGTGAGGGATGTGAAAGTGTGAGAGATGGGCAGTGTGTGCCAGGGCTGGAGGGCTTTCTCCTCACCTGTCTGTCCAGTGGGATTGCTGGCAGTGCAGGATGTGCTGCCTGCTCCTGCCCTGCAGGGCCAAGCAGGAAGATTCTCAGCTGTCCAACTGAGTTGGGTGTGAAGGACCCAACAACCTTCTTCCATCAGTGTTCTGCCTGTGCCTGGAAGCCACCTCATCTCCACTTAGACATGAGGTCTGGCTGCTGGGGCAGGGGATTGTTACCTTCTAGAAGCAGGAAAGCAATCACTGAGTTAGGCAGTGGGTTGGACAGGAGGCAGCACACTGCTGTGGACCCATCACAGGCAGTTTTGGTCACTCTTGATTTGCTCATCTGACCATGTGCTGAGTCTGGGCTGGGTGAACACCCTGTGTGGTGTTCACAGATTTTGTATGTGAGGTCTCCATCCCTCTGGGAAAATGTTGGTGCTCAGCTCCTCTCATGGTGCTGCCACTGGTCAAAGGTAGAGTTGTGGGATTGTGCTCCAGTTGCAGGAATGTCAGATTCAGGTAAATACTGCCTTCTCTGAGCTTTATTTCTTATGGCTTTCTGTAGAGCTGAGATGATGCTGGCAGTGAGATAAATCACTATTTTAGCTTATTTTATTCAGAGTCCAAACAACAAAAACCAGCAGCGTTGTGACCAGAGGTTGTATTTTCAATCTACAGAATAGTCAAGGGGCCACTGCTAACTGGCTTTGCGGGTCATACCGTTCAAAAAAATGGACATAACAAAAAAGGGAATTTTAGAACTTGTAATGAGTAAAATCTCATAAGGAGATGTAGCTGATAGTCTGAGATGTGTGTATGAGATGCATGAGGCTGAGTGTCTAGGCAATTTGCCTTCTGAACATAAAAGAAAAAATAATGTGTTTGGAAATATTGTCTATTATGGGGATATGTCTATTATATCTAAACATAATTTGTTGTCTGGGATTAAAAACCATAGCACTGTACCACACACTAGGGAGAAAATTAACTCTAACCCAACCAAAACTAGAAGAGAGGTAATAACAGTGAGATCCTCTCTTCCGTCTTTTCTGAAACCATAGACATCTTGTGTAGTTCAAAAAATCCAACCCTTTTTAAAAATGCATAATATTCTGTGGGGCTTAATAACAGAGTATCAACACAGCAAATTGCATAATCAGGTGCAAAAAAAAAAAAAGAGTTGGACATTTAGGTGAAATAATATTGCAACATTAGGAGAAGTATATTAAATAAAAAGTTGCTTCCTTTTAGTCTCCAGCTGCCGCAAAAGCAGCGCTCCAGGCAGCTGGGAAGGGGCTCAGCTCCACGAGGAGGTGCAAGCTGACCCAGGGACTCTAATGCTGCTTTTCAGGTGCTCGTGCCCAGAGTTGCCTCCACCCCCATGAACATCAGTTCTGATGCAGCCCCTGGTGATGCAGGAATGGCTCTATGTCCTCCCACGGTGTCCTGAGTGGCACGTCCCAGGCCAGGCGCAGCACAGCAGCACTGCCCCCCCGCTGTCTCAGGTAAGAGCTGGCTCTGGGAGCCTTTCACGGCTGCGAGTTTCTGTGGGGCAAACCAGGGCCTCTGTTCCTGTGGCAGGGAAAGCTGTCGGCCCCAGCCTCCTGTGGGCTTGCACTTAACGGGAGCGTGAGCTCTCCTTGAGCGTTCCAGCTGCGAAGTGCTGCCCAAAGTAGAGGAAGAGGGACAACCTGCAGAGCTGCATTTCAAGCTTCTTCCAAAATAAAGAGCGAGAGGCTGCTGTTAACAGCTCTTACGTATTTGGTTGGTTTTTTTCCTGGAAACTTGGAAGAATGTCAGCTTTGGCTGAAAATGCAGATTTCTAACCTTCCTGGTTGCAGAGAAGAGGCTGGAAATGAGCCCTTGGTGAATGCTGTAAGGCAGAGGAGGAGTCTGATCTCTTTCCAGTCTGGTTATCTTGAGGAATAGAGAGTGTGCTCCCACTGTTGGTTTCTCTCCTCCTTCCCCAGGGTCTCTGAGCCGACAGACCAGGCTCCTCACTGGAGGGAAGGAAGGTCTCTGGGGATCCCTGGGCAAATGGCAGGAGTGAAGAACAGAAAGGTGTGCTGGCAACTGTCTGCAGAGCTGCCTGTGCTCTGCACTGAGCTGTCATGAGCTGGTTTAGCACCTTTAGAGTGAGGAAATGCTGCCTCAGCTCTGCCAGAGAACGGCTCCCACTTTACCTGTAGCTGTTGGCCCCAGGGTACCTCTCAGCTGACTGGAGACTGATGGACAGTGCCAAAGTTTCCCTTGGGTGCTGCCAGTGTTATTCCCAGGACAAATGAGGTCCCAGCTTTGCCTTTTCCTGTTTCATTGTGCTTCAAACATGGAAAGCAAAGGCTGATGCTGAGGCTCCTCCCTGCTGTGGTGGCCATCAGCCTGGCCCCATCCTGCCCCAGAGAGCCTGGATCTGAGGGAAGAAGGTAGAGCTGTCTCTGGAGAGGCTCCAGGATGCAAGAATGAAGCAGTGGGGCAGGGTCTTGGTAGCTGAGTCAGGGCTTATTGGCTCCAGGGTGGCTGTTATGGTGCTGCTGCCCAGCCAGTGCATGAGTGGTTAATAAAGAGCAAATGAAGCCCCCTCCTCTGCCTGGGAGCTGGTCTTGCATCTCTTGGGCCTGAGAGGTGGTGAGAGGAGAGAGGAGGAGCTGTGCTGTTCTTGGAGAGAGGGACAGCAGCAGTCAGATGTGCAGGCAGGGAAGGAGGGGAAGAGAGGGAGAGATACAGGGAGCTTTTCTTTCCCTCCTTGTAGGTGGAAGAGAGCATGGAAACAATTCTGGGCAGCAGGACTGTGGGGGACATAGGAAGCCAGCCCAGAGCCTTCTGGCAAAAAGAAACTATTTGCACCCAGTCCAGACTGGCAGGAACATCTGTGCTGGCACCCATCACTGTGCTGGGGCATGAGGGGGGGGCATCTTTGTCCTGGAGCATGTGGGGGACAAGGAGGGCATCTTTTGTTTTGTGGGATTAGGTCTCAAGAACGTGACTATTTACCTTCTGGATAACCAAAGCTTGCTGGGACCATTTCCTGGATAAATCTCTTTCCTGGCAAATACTCCTGTGTGCTCTGCATGTGCTCCAGCATCTGAGGGTAAAGTCTCTGCTGGTCACCCCATCCCAGCCCATGCCCTTGCAGAGAGAGTTGTTCCCCAGTGCTGGCACCAGTGACTCTGCACACACCTGATTTCCCACGGGGGGGTTGCCCTATAGTGGGCAGATATCTGCCCCCTTTGTGCTTCAAGGGCAACCACGAGGTTAAGGCAGGTTGGAGGCTGCTGGAATGCCACTGGACAAAGCTGGGATTGAGGCTGGCTGTGAGGCACTGCCGCCCCCCTGCACATTCCTGGGGGGTCAGTGCTCGGGGCATCCTGCTCTGCTGGGCATCCAGTGCTTCCCTGCTGCCCTCCTGGGTGCTGTCTGTGGCACCCGGAGGGCTGGGGGGCAATGCTGGTTCCTTTGGAGAAGCTGGGGGGCCCTGCAGCGGATCTGTGGCTGAGCACAGGTAGATGCACTTGCCAGAGCCTGCGTGAGTGTTCTGCACCCAAAAATAAAGCTCTTCAGGGGTGGAGGGGGAATGTGGGTCCAGGCTGCTGCTGCTGCTGGGGCTCTGGGGAAAGAGTGCTTAGGGGATGCTCAGAGGGCAAGCACTGTATTGTGCTGTACTGGGCTTTGTCCTGGGGAAGCAGATGTTCAGCACCTGCACTCTGCTTGGTCACTGCCATGGGCTTATCTGCTGGGCTTGGTCTGTGAGTCACAGGCTCGGTGGGCTTTTAATTTCTTAAACAAAGCTGGAAGGACTGTGTGATCTGCACAGCTGTGTTGCAGTTGCCCTCACACCTGGGTAGAGCTGCTCCCCTCCTTTGGTATCTCCTGGGATAGAGGGGAGGGCTGGAGCATTCCCTGGCACTGCTGTGGGACTGACCTACTTCAGTGCCGTGAGGATCTGCACATGCAGAGTATTGATTTTTCTATGTGCAAGCAGCAGTTTTAGCTTGAGTGGATTATTATTCATGGCCCCAAGAATCCTGTGAACTCTGTGGGTGATGGTTTTCTCTGTTTTCTTGGTGCTCCTAGAGTGGCAGGATGGGGAGGCAGAGAACAGCCTGTTAGATGTTTTTGGATGAATCAAACTTAGCACCAGTCCTGGCAATCATTTGATTTCTCTCTGAGAACTGGTGTGGAGGGGGTATTTTTAGCTGTGCAGCCAAATTCCTTGTCTGGTGATTTTAGTTCTGCCCCTTGTTTTCCTCGGCTTGGCTGGATCTCTCCTCTCGACACCTCTGTGAGCCCTCGGACAGGACAACTGACAAGTAGCTACACATTCCCCTTGGAAGAGCTGCTGCTTTCCCCCAGAGGCAGCTGCCCTTGTCTGGCAAAGGAGTTCCTGTTGTATGCTCTGTTTAGAAAGCGCTAACACAATTAATTATGGCTGATTAACCACCTGGGGCTGATTATCACAAATGAACTCCAATATCGAAGTAGCATTCGATCGAAACGCTGCCGTTTCCCCAACAGAACCCATCGTTGTCTCACTTGGGGAAATGTGTCCATGTGTTTTGCACAGGGAATGATGTTTTTTGGAGAAAACCCTCTCTCACTCACTGAGTCCTATGTGAGGTGCTTCTAGTCCTGCTGGTGTGTATCATCACCAGCAAGTGCAACTGTGTCTTCACTGCCACTGTGAGCAGGGATAGGGCACAGCGCTCAAGGCTTAGGAGAGGATTCCACCGAGGATTTGTTGTCCAGGGATCAGCAGCCCATTTTCCCAGCTGAGTGGCGCAGTGCAAAGTGTGCTTCCTTCGAGTGGCTGGATTAGGATTTGCTATCACCTTCTCCATGGCTTTTTGGAGCACCCTTCCCACTACTGCTCACTCTGGAGAGGTGTGGAGGAGAAGCAGCATCTGTGGAGGAGAAACGGCTTCCCAGATTTGCTGTGCAGGAAGGGAATATCCTTGAGCTTCTGTAGAGGAGCAGGTGGCAACTCCCAGTATTGGGGATGACATAAAGGAGGTTGGCAGATCCCCTTGCTCCTTAGGAACAGAAGGACCAGTCTCCTCTCGAAGCACAGAAGCCCTGTATAGCATGGAAAAAATCATCATTAGCCCTGCAGGGACTGTGACACATAAGGACCAGCTCCGATTTAACAGCTAGCAGTGAGCTAAGCTCATTGCTGGATAACTGAGGAGAGCAGGAGATGTGCAGTAAGCCCTTCCTTCAACCTTTGCTCTTAGTTCTGCTGGAACTGGCGCTGCATCCTTCCTCCGGGCACAACCATGGGCTTCCTGGGAGCTGCTGAGAGACCACTCAAGGAGCAGGGCAACCCCTTTGTGAGTTGAAAAATGAGTCAGGGTCAGGACAGGGTGGGGTAGGTGCCCCCAGGCAGGTACCCAAAGCCCTGGGCAGTGATGTCTGGATGCAGCATGGTTCTGTTTCTGCCCAGGTTGAAGCCTCGCAGGATGGTGCAGGACCTTCGTGTGTAACCCCCCGGGCTCCAAGCAGTGCTGCCGGGCCCCAGGCCCCTCTGGAGATGAATCTTTGCTGGAACGAGATAAAAAAAAAATCCCACAGCCTTCGGTAAGAATCCCTGCCTGGAGCAAGCCTGGCCTTCCAGCCTTGCCTGCTGCTTGTGTTTGTCAGGAGGCTTTGGAACTTTTTCGCTTGATGAGCCACATGAATTCACAGTGACCTTGGCTCAGTTCTCCCTCCTGTCCACAGACTTCTGAATATTTCTCCTTACGCTGAAAAGCATCCACTCTGTTTCCACCCATCCCGTCCTCTCCTCCCTCCCCTCCTTCACTTCTCCTTGCTTTCTGCTGCTCCCTCTATCCTCTGCCATCTCTGCAGCTGGTCTCCTTTTACCCCACAGCTTTGCCTCCACACACTCTGTACTTGTTCCCTTGCCGGCAGCCCTTTGCACTTCCACTGAGGGGAACATGCCTTCCAGACTGTCAGAGGTTGCAGCTCCACAGCCAGCATGACAGAGAGCTTAACTGGGGCGTGTTAATTGTGTCCTGCCTTAATCCAAGGCTCCTGGAAGCTGCCCAGACATGTAAATGCCAACCCAAGCCCCCCGTGCTAGCCAGAGCACAGTTCCGACCCACAGGCGAACACAGAGTGACTCTGTCCTCTGCTCTGGGCTCCGGAGTGAGGAACAGCTTCAGGGTTTCCTCTCCCCTGTGCCTCCATGTTTCACCCCACTTGGCAGTGTAACATCTATGCTGCCTGAGGGTCACGCACAGCCCGTGTTAAGGTGTGCTGACACTCACTGGTGGGGTCCTGGGGGTCCCCACCCCACCATGGTGCTGTGCCTCCCCTCTCCAGGGAACCCGCTCCTCTCCTGTCTGTCTGACTGCCAACTCACTGTCCTTGCTCTCCTACCAGGGCTCGGCTGGAGGCCTTTTCTGACCACAGTGGGAAGCTGCAGGTGCCTCTCCAGGAGATCATAGACTGGCTGGGGCAGAAGGATGAGGAGCTCTCAGCACAGCTGCCCCTGCGGGGCGACGTCCTCCTGGTGCAGCAGGAGAAGGAGACGCACGCGGTACATCCCCTTGCACCTCCCCTGCCACTGTTCTCTGCTGGGATGAGATGAGGGTGACTGGAGGGAATTGCCTCTCACTGGCCTCTGCTTTTGGGATCCTGGGGTTTGAGAAAGCTAGTTGGTCTAAGGGCAACCCGGTGGTTGGGACACGAGTGATTCCTGCAGTAACACATTTTCATCATACCTGAAACTGGGGTAAACACAGACAGATCAGATTTTCCTGCTCCCATGATCAGAGAATTTTCTTCTCCCTGCCGGTGGCTGTTGGATTATAGTTGTTTTTACCTTGAAAACAAAAATGAACTGTTTATTGTTGTTACCCCTCATCCCTGCTGGAGCCACTTCCCTGGTGCTCAGATAGCCCATCCAGCAGACAGCACTGGTGTGGGAACTGCAGTTGGAGGGGAGGAGAGGACATCTTAAACCAGTGTGCCTCTGAAGTCTTCCTTGGTAGATGTGCTGCTTTGAGGCATCCTGCTGTTCCTCTCCTTGCTCCTGCAGCAGCTGGACCTGTTGCTGAACAGCTGCTGGAAGGACTGTTTGCATGGCCATGCTCTCACTGCGTGAGTGAGGAGTGTCTCCAGTAGTGCCTGTGAAAGCACCATAAATAAAGCAGTTCCCCTTGTGCAGCCCTGGCTCAACACAGCCTTCTGGGCTGGCTGTTCTGCCTCCCCACTCCAGCAAAGCTGCTGGCCAAACCTCTGCAGGGGCCACCTTCTGGTAGGGGGTCATTCCTTCCCTGAACAGCAAAAATATTTCTCTTAATGTTAACTTCTGTGTCTCCAGTGTGATTTGGGCCCTGGGGTGAATAAATAACTGCTGCTTTTGGCAAGGGGGCAGCAGGGCACAATTTTCTGTCTCAGCCTGCTGTCTCATCTCTGTGCTCTGCTCTCCAGGCGTTCATGGAAGAAGTGAAGTCTCGGGGACCATACATTTACTCTGTCCTGGAGTCAGCACAGGCTTTCCTTTCCCAGCATCCATTTGAGGAATTAGAAGAACCAACTTTGGAAAGCAAAGGTCTGTGGAGCTCCCCCTTCCTCGTTCTCTCATAGCACAGCTCCTCCCATGCTGGAGTGCAGGTGGTTGGCACAAGGAGGCACATCAGTGCTCTGCCTCACACCACCGTGCCTCAGGCTGCTCCCAGTCCTTTGGCTGAAGGTCAGGCTGGCACAGGGCAGTGTCACTGTCCCTGGCGAAGGCAGAAGCTCATTAGACAGCATCAGATGTGCTCTGGGGCAGGGTTTTAAAGGGCAGCAGGGCTTCTCCCTGTGAGGAGCAGTGGGTACGAGTCTGTGGGCAGGCTGGATGCCTAGGGGAGCTAGTGCAGAGATACTATTATTATTTGTTTTCCCTCCCTCTTTCCAGTTTTCCCTGGATTTTTTAATCTTCCATTTCCCCGTCCTCCCTCCATCTCTTGCCCCGCTCTCCTCTGGGCTGGGGTCTCATTTTTGCTCTCTGTTCCCCTTCTGCTTTGCCCTCACAGATGTCTCTCCCCGGCACCGGATCCAGAACATCAGCCGCTTTGTCTGGAAGCAGGCGAATGTGGCCAGTGAGCTGTGGGAGAAGCTCACGGCCCGGTGTGTGGACCAGCACCGCCACATTGAGCGGACGCTGGAGCAGCTGATTGAGATTAAAGGGGCCATGGAGGAGCTCAGCACGACCCTGGACCAGGCTGAAAGCGTGCGTGAAACCTGGGAGCCCATCGGGGACCTCTTCATTGACTCCCTGCCAGAGCACATCCAGTCAACCAAGGTACTTTAGGCTCTGAGAAGGCTCCAGCCTTGGCCCCAGAGGTGATGAAATGCTGCTTCCCAGGAGGACAGTGCTGCCCTCCTGGACTGCTCAGTCCAATGTAGCCTCGTTACCTGGGATCTCAGGGGCCAAATCCTCCCTCCCACAGCTCCCTCACTTTGTGAGGGTATTTTTGGCCCACAGTGTCCTGAGCAACTGGCTTTGCTGAGTACCTTGTCATGGCCTTACACAGGCACAGTGGCTCAGCACAGATGATTCATTGTCCCCATCCCAATTCTCAGGAGATTTGAGTAATCTGCAGCCTGGTTGTTTTGGTCTGTGTTTTTTTTTCCCTTGTTAAGGTATCCTGTGGGAGGGTTACTCAGCAGTGGCTTGGCAGCCACTGGCCCACCCTGAGCTTGTAGCAGAGGAATCAGATCCAAGTTGTGACCACTCACCTGCTTCTTTTCCTTCTTCCCCTGCTCTGTGCCTGTTTCCCTGGGCATGGGATTCCAGCTGTTCAAAGAGGAGCTCTCCCCTATGAAGGATGGGGTGAAAGTGGTCAATGATCTTGCACACCAGCTTGCCATCTCAGATGTCCACCTGTGCATGGAGAATTCCCGTACCCTGGAGCAGATCAACACGCGCTGGAAACAGTTGCAGGTGGGAAGGAGTCAGCACCAAGCACTGCAAGTAAACCATGGGCGGGAGGATGGTGGGGAAGGGTCGCCACTGCTGAGCTCCAAGGATGATAAAGTAAGGCTTGGCATAGAAGGGATGTTACAGCTGGTGTTCCTAGTGGATGAGAGATCAGTTCAGTGTGAGGAAAGCGGCTGGTAAATCTGTAGAGGTCTTGTTCAGGAAAAGGCAATGGGAGGAACAAAAAATGCTGAGGAGAATCAGGGTCTGATGGGTGGAGGGAGTTGGGAAGTGTCAGTACCAGCTGTGGCTGCTTGGATGTCTGTGAAACTGTGGATACAGGTGATGTGTACATGCACATGAAGACGTGCCCCGTGCTGCCTCACCCTGGGGGAGGAGGTGTAGAGGGCTCAGCAGACTGGGGGATGCAAAACCCAATTAGGAGAGGAAGGAAGAGGACCTGTGTGCCGGGGCATGTCTGAGTCCACCCACAAGCCTTCCTGAATGGGTCTTCAGGAGCTGCCTGATGGATTGCCATTGAATTATTCTGTCCACTTCTCCAGGCCTCCATAAATGAACGCCTGAAGCAGCTCCAAGATGCCCACCGGGACTTCGGACCAGGCTCCCAGCACTTCCTGTCCTGTACGTGAGCGGGTCCTCCTGGCTTCCTGCCTTGAGGCTGCCTCTGCACAGTGGTGTGGGCTGTGGCACAGGAGAATTGGGTGCAAAGTCCTGTTCCTGAGCCCAGGGCCACACATACGGCTGCAAAATGGCCCAGGCTGGTGCCTGATACACAGGAACCAAAGCAGGAGGCATCTCCCAATGTTAGCACTGTGCTACCTCACCTGGTGGGATCAAGGGCGTGACGTGAGCACAGAGCTGTGACACTCACAGCAGCATCTCCCAGGTGATACTGGGGCTGTGTCAGCCTCAGAGACTGGGTGGCCAAGACAACAGATGGCAGAAAAAGGCAGTCCCCCATATCCCGTGTTAGTCATTTGGAGGCTAAAAATGTGCCTGTTAAGGTGGTTTTCATTCATGTGGTGAGGCAGAGAGATGCTGTTTCTACAGAGCAGAGCTGCTGGCTGACAGACCTGCCAAGGATGGGCAGCAGGTTGTGCTCCAGAGCCTGTCCTTGGAAAGGCTGAGCCCTGCAGGGTCTCCAGATGTCGGTGGGATTTGTTGGCCTGTGTTTCTCTGCAGACCACATACTCCCATCTGAAAGAAGGAATGACTTTTTCAGTTGCAGGGATTGATAAGCTGCCTGTGAAAAGGGAAAATGTAACCGAGGGCCATAAAAGGGCTTCCATCCTCTAGATAACAAACATAGGATGGGACATAACTGTTATGGGATGTGTCCTTATCTTCCCAAGATACTGCAGCTGACACACAGAGTGGGAGTAATGGAAACAGCTGATGCTTTGGGTGCCTGAGCCTGGCCACGACAAGTAGTGCTGTGTGTGTGCACCCAAATCCCACCTGCTATGAGCTCTGCCCACTGGTGTCCACAGTGTTGCCTCAGGCATCATCAAAAGCATCAGGAAGTGTCTGTTCTTGAGTTATGAGCTCAGCCAGAGAGCGAGCCCCTGTCTCAAGAGACAAGATGTCTCTAACAAGACCAGCAGTCTTGTGTTTCTTATGAGCAGCATCCCCTTGCCTGCACCAACACCCCCAGTTGGTGATTTGGGAAGGCAGAGCCTCTTCAGAGGCACCCACCTGTTGGCACAGTCCTACTGGGTTGACATCAGAAACAGCTTGGAGGAGTGTTTGGTGTTGATCTGACACGTCTCTCTCCTTGCAGCCTCTGTCCAAGTCCCCTGGGAACGAGCCATTTCCCCCAACAAAGTGCCATACTACATCAAGTGAGTGTGCTCCCAGTCACAGCCTTCTCTGGCCTGGTGGGAACAGGAACTGGGGACCAGTTAGGGGTGGGGGGCAGTGAGAAGAATGTTCTAAGCACTGACAACCAGTGAGATGTGTTGCCCCCAGCCTGGTAGAGCCTGGCTTTCCCTGCTTACAGAGGTTCCCAGATGAGAGGGAACGCTGTCTGGAAAGGGAGGGAGCTGGTAGCAAGTGAAGGCATCCTTCTGTGGGCATCTTCCATGCTGCTGTCCTGGGGAATGTGCTCAGAGGGGTGCAACAGCCCCAGTTTCCACTCCCAGCACCAGCCAGGTCATTTCATAATCTCTCATGGCAGCTGCTTGAGTGCCAGCTTGACTCCTGATTTCCATCTGTTTCTCTTCCAGCCACCAGGCCCAGACGACATGCTGGGACCACCCAAAGATGACAGAGTTGTACCAGACGCTGGGTAAGGAGACTGTCACACAACCACTCAAGTAGTACCCACCTTTTTGCAGCATGGGGTGCATGTGAAATCCCCCCAGGCCGCCCTCCCACCTCTGGCACAGGGTCCCCAAAAGCAAAGTGACTCCTTGCCAGACTCTGCTCCTCATCCTCCTGCACGTAGTCTGCTTCTGCTGGTGGGGCTGGTGCCTGGGAACTCCAACTGCTGCTTCCTGCCCTGGAGATAAGGATGTTGCCCCGTGGTTTCATTCTCCTTTTCCTGTGTTATTGCAGCGGATTTGAACAACATCAAGTTCTCGGCGTATCGGACGGCCATGAAACTACGGCGGGTGCAAAAGGCCCTTCGATGTGAGTGTGGGAAGGGTTTCCCTCCTGCTGCCTCTCCCCCTGTGGAGGCATTAAACTAACACAAGCTTTTATCAGTACATCAAAGGCAGGAGGCACCAGGGGGCAGGGAGCTGAGGTGAGAAACCAGGAAGAGCAGTTCACAGCTGGAAAGCCGAGCAAATTCACCAGTCTGTGTCAGTGCCTTTCTTTACAGGCTTAGGGTGGAAATGTGTCAGAGGCAGGTGTTAGTCCAAGGGATTTGAGAACAAAGTGGTCCAGCTCAGATTTACAAAGCTGTGGGATCACACAGGGGCTCACCAAGTAGCTCAGATCGAGCAGAGAGAAGTCATGGATGTACCAGAGAGCAGAAACCAACCACGCTGGCAGGGGCAGAGAGGGCTTCACTGCTTGAAGAGGAGGAAGGGAGCCAATAAACTTGAAGTCTACGCTGTTGGTAAAAGCTGGGGGATTAATAGCCAGGTGAATATAATGCCATAGGAGTTCAACACAATGCCCAGCTCTCCCAGAGGGAGGTGCTCCCCGGAAACTGCTGAGGAGTTTCCGGGGGAGTTGGCAAGCAGGCAGAGGGGAATCTGATAGATGCAGCATCCTTGGCTGCTTGGAGCTTTTGACAGGGCCTCTCACCTAAGTCTCTGTCAAAATTAACCAGCAGCAAGATGAGGGGGTTTTTCCTAAATTAATTGTTCCTGACAGGGAAGAGGTACAGTCGGGTCCCGTGCTCCTTGACATCTTGGGAAAGGCCTGGAAGAAGGCAAAGAGTGAGGGTGAGAGGAGGTTGGATTCTCAAGGGAGTTGAACCCTGACTGTAGAGTATTTTCCTGATGTTGTGGTGAGCAGGCTGTGCCATATCTGGGGACATTTGGGGCTGGTGTAGTACAAATGGAGCAAAGCAGCAGTTGTCTTTTGCCATCCTGTAAAGGTGTCCATGCAGCAGCGGCTACAGAAACACAGGGTGTGGTCAGAAAAAGGGCAAAGAACAAAGCAGAGCTCTTCCACATGCTGCTTGGGCATCTTTGGTTGTGCATCTTTTGCATCTTACCTGCTGTGTTGGCTCCTCCTCTCCAGCCCAGAAATGACTTGAATAAGTGCTCCTTATTCAAGACATACCTGAGAAAAGGGCAAGGAAGTTGTCAAGACAGCTTCCCCATGGCAAGGAGTTTGGTGGAGTGGCCATGTAGGAAAGAGGCAGTGGGGGACAGATCAGAGCCATGTGCAGTTGTGGGCAGTGTGGACACGAGGGTGAGCAGGAGCAATTCTCACTGGCATGTGAACTGGGGGTACCCAGTGCAAGTCTAGCAGTTTTGACAGAAGAAGAGAGGATTTTTCCACAGAATGAAGTTAGAGTGTGGCAATGGGTTCTGAGATCATAAGTGGTCTCGGAATGGAAAGACTTTCTGGAAAGAAAGATTACTGGCTGCTAAACGCAGTAGCACATACAACCTGCAGCCACAGAGATCTGAAAGCAGGGCAGCCAGGGTAGCTCACGCTGTGCTAGCCCTGTTTTGGGTTTGTGCCTTAACTCCTACACCCTGTCAGAGCTGGAGACAGGACTGATCCACCCCTGGCAGCTGCTGGTAGGGTCTGTGAAGCTCTGTGCCCCCTCACCTCCCTACACCAGCTCCACAGGGACATGGCACGTGCTGAGAGCTTGGCTCTGGGTGCACAGGGCTCTGCACAGAGCCTTCCATGGGTGGACACATCAATGAGGAAAGAAGGTCACAGAGAATGGTGGCTCAAGGTGGAGATGTAGTATTTTGGGAGAGGTTTACAAACAGGAGAGAAATTCTAGGAGCTGTGCCCATCCTGCCAGCATCTTATCTGCTGCTGTGGGACTCACACTGCCCCAGGTCAGTGCAGGGCTGCCCCTCTCCCCTCTTGGTTCTCACTTGTCCCGTTTTCCCCTCTTTCCCTCTGCCCGTGCTTTCTGTGCAGTGGACATGGTGACCCTGGCAACAGCCTTGGAAATCTTCAACGAGCACGACCTGCAGCCCAGCGACCGGGCGATGGACGTGGTGGAGGTGATCCACTGCCTGACCGCCCTCTACGAGCGGCTGGAGGAGGAGCGGGGCATCCTGGTGAACGTGCCCCTCTGTGTGGACATGAGCCTCAACTGGCTGCTGAACGTCTTTGACAGGTACCACTCCCCCAGGGCTCCCCTGAGCTGTGGGGCTGCCACGCTTGGAAGGAGACCTCTGTGCTGCTCCTCTGGCTGGGAGTGCTGCCAAAAACGCTCTGGCTGTTAGTGAGGGGGCTGCCTGGTGTGCGCTTGCCTTGCTGACCCCCCTGAAAAAAAAAACCAACCAAACCCAACCTCCAAAGCATTTTCAAACCTGTGCGATATCTCTCCTTGCAGTGGCCGCAGCGGGAAGATGAGGGCTCTCTCCTTCAAGACAGGCATTGCGTGTCTGTGCGGGACAGAGGTCAAGGAGAAGTTTCAGTGTGAGTCCCTTGTCTCCCTTCCCCAGAAACTGGTGTGGAGTAACCTGGGAAACCAGGAGTGCTTCTGTTTTCTGGTTTAGACCTTCTTTGCCCAGGAAGAGCAAAGAAACATCTTTCCTGCAGTGACTAAGCTGCTTGCATCGCCACCTCTCCCTCCCTCCCTGGGCCTACGCCACCTAAATTAGGAGGAGGTTTTTTTGCAGACTGACTGGTGCTGCAGTGTTCTTGCTTGTATGGCACTGTAAGGAACAGAGCAGAAAAGGCACACAGGCAACAGTTATCCAATACTTCCCAGAAGGGGAAAAACCCGGGGGTGCATGTTGGGGAAGTAGGTTTCAGACGAATTAAAGGGAGCTGCTCTCCTTGCTGCATTTTAGCCCTGGTACTCTGCCGTGGAATATTGTGGAGGAGGTGGCATAGGAAGCACCAAGGGATTAAATAAAGGGATTGGGCCAATTCATAGAGGACAGGCTAGCTGTGGCTGTTAAAGAAAAGAGGTGTGTAACCTCTGTCCCAAGAAGACGCTAAACCCCTGGTTATTGAGAGCTGGAAGGATAAGGGTAAAGGTTATTTCCTCTTATTTGAGCTGTCTGCTGGAGATGGTCAGATGGGGTGTGGGATCAGCTGGGTATCAGCCAGGCTGTGTCTCTCCTGCCCGCAGATCTCTTCAGCCAAGTGGCCAACGCTGGGGGACTGTGTGACCAGCGGCACCTCGGTGTCCTGCTCCACGAGGCCATCCAGGTCCCACGGCAGCTCGGGGAGGTGGCAGCGTTCGGGGGCAGCAACGTGGAGCCCAGCATCCGCAGCTGCTTCCGCTTTGTGAGTGCAGGGCCACGGCCACGCTGTCCCTCCGCAGCAGCCGTGCTGGGGACAGGCTCACAGGGGTGCAGAGGGACCTGCGTCCCCCACGGCTGGGTCCTGGCTCTGAGCAGCCCCTTCCTCTGCCTTCCCCAGAGCAACGGGAAGCCTGCCATCGAGGCGTCCCAGTTCCTGGAGTGGGCCAACCTGGAGCCACAGTCCATGGTGTGGCTGGCTGTGCTGCACCGGGTCACCATGGCCGAGCAGGTGAAGCACCAGACCAAGTGCTCCGTCTGCCGGCAGTGCCCCATCAAGGGCTTCAGGTAGGGTTGTGATACGGGACATGGGCCCCCAAGGGGAGGGCATGGTGTCCTGCAGGAGTGAGCTGAGTTTGTTCTGTGCTGTTGGGGAACCTAGAGCTCTGCAGCCAGCAGTGTTTTGGGCAGGGGAGACCCAGGGTCAGCTAAGGGAAAAGAGCAGGATGCTTTTCTGGGACTTCAGCCATCAGCACCGTGGGTCACTGGGATGTGAGAGCAACACAGGCCACCTCTGTGCCCTCCTGCTGACCTCTTCTTGGGCTTCAAACTTGCCTGTTTTTACTGACTTCCACTGCCTCCCTATGGCCTCTTGGCCTCTCCAGGTATCGGAGCCTGAAGCAGTTCAATGTGGATATCTGCCAGACTTGCTTCCTCACCGGCAGAGCCAGCAAGGGCAACAAGCTGCACTACCCCATCATGGAGTACTACACCCCGGTACGGAGCTGGGCAGGGCTGGCAGAGTCCTGGCTCAGAGCAGGTCTGCACTGGCAGCAGCAGCCTTGTGATGTTTAGGCTGGTACAACACGAGAAGTGAATCCCTTGTATAGTTTTTTTATCCCTCTGCATGCTGAGAGTTGCCTGTGTCCCTGTTATTCTGGGGCTCACGGTGAGAGGGATGCACAGCACCAACCAGTGTCCAGCTTGGCTTGTGCCAGATCCCATGTCAGCCTGACAGATCTTCCTTCCATGTGCCCTTAGTGCCTCTTCCTCTGTGGAGCTTGTCCCCAGTCTGAGGGGACTTCTCTACTGTAAGAGCTGACCTGTGCTGCCCCACTTTTCATTAAGTAGCACTTTTGTAATGTTTGTGTCTCTGCAGACCACGTCCAGTGAGAACATGAGAGACTTTGCCACAACGCTGAAGAACAAGTTTCGGTCCAAGCAGTACTTCAGCAAGCACCCACAGAGGGGTTACCTGCCTGTCCAGTCTGTACTCGAGGCTGATTTCTCTGAGACGTGAGTTGGCTGTGCCCTGGGCTGTGTCTTTTGACCCAGCCTGACAGGTGGGCTCCATGGATGGAAGGAGCATTTCAGCTGTGAGACAGAGCTCCCATGGGCAGGCTGGAGGGGGCACTTGTTCCGGGGATGATACAGCACCTAGTTCTTGAAGGAACAGAGATGTCAGTCTCCCTCTCCAGCCTGTCCCAGGCTCTTCTCAGCCCAGTTGAGATCAGGGCAGCCTCTCCAAAGCCTTGCTGACCAGTGTGCCTCTCTTCCAGACCAGCCTCCTCCCCGATGCTGCCACACGCCGACACACACTCCCGGATCGAGCACTTTGCCAGCAGGTACCACCACTGGGCACTGCGGTCACACCAGGGCATGGAGCATGACTTCCATGGGTGTGGAGGGGTTTGGGGGCAGATGTATGGTGAGCTCTTGCTGCTTGCAGCCCCTTCCACCCTTCCCAGCATGCTGCACCTCAGGCAGGGCCAGGCAAATCTGCCTGGGACGTGGCTGATGCCAAGTAAATTGGCAGTAAAGACCATGCACCTGACAGGAGGTGTCGAAGTGATGCAGCAGCTTCCATGGACTGTCCTGTTCTTCCCAGCACTAGCTGCTGGTTGGATTCTCACCAGGCAGATCCCTCAATATCTTGCTCTGTCTGTGTGCTCCCAGTGCTGCTTGCAAGCTTCCCATTGCTGCTGCCTTGTGGTTTGTGGTGCCTCTGCCCTCGCCATGGGGACCCGAGGAGACAAGGAGTTTGTACTTGTAGCTCATGCCCCAGGCTGGACCTGGAATGCTTTCACCCCTTTCTTTTGCTTATGAGAGCAGAGGCTGAGCTTAGTAGGAGCTCAGGGCACAGCAGCAGCCCTTTATTCCAGAGACTGTCATCAGAGCAGCAGTGTATTTTTGTTTTCTAAAAAGAAAAAGCTCTGTAGAACCTGTGAAGAGGGGCAAACTGGTGCAGGCCAGCTGGGAGACCCTGCCAGAAAGGGGTCTTGCAGGGGATGAAATAAGGAGGGTAAACTGAGCAGACATTCTCTGTGGTGTCTCACCCTCAGCAGGGTGTCTCTGACCATATCTCAACCTTTTCCTCTTTCCTCTAGGCTTGCAGAGATGGAAAGCCAGAACTGCTCCTTCTTCAACGATAGCCTGTCCCCTGATGACAGCCTGTGAGTTCTGCCTCCTTTCCCCTCTCACCTCCTGATGAGTCAGAGCTCCTATGGCTCCATCCATGCTTAGCCAGGGCACAGAAATGCTTTCCTTCCCAGTCCCTTTGAGTAAGAGGCTCTTGGGCACCCCCAGCTAGCCAGGGATGCCGAGCCACTTCTGAGCTCTAGGCCTGGAGCAGCCAGAATGAGCTCCCCCACATGAAACCACCTCCCTGCAGGTCCTTCCCCGGGGGCACACAAATCCCATCAGACTGATGTTCTTCACTAAGCTCTTTCTCCCCTTGCTGCAACAGGGATGAGGACCAGTATCTGCTACGCCATTCCAGCCCCATCACTGACAGAGAGCCTGGGGGCAGCCAGCAGGTTCCAGGAAACCTCAACATGGATGACAAGGGAGAGCTGGAGCGAATCCTGGCCCACTTAGAGGATGAAAACAGGTAGAGGCACAGGCAGCTCTGAAAGTGGGGCTCATAGCCTAAGGAGGGGAAGGGACTGGAGAAGCCTGGTGAAGCTGAGTGGAGAAAGGGAATAGCTGCTGGATCTGTAGGTGGGGATTGGAGATGTTGAGTGGGCTGCTTTGGAGGGTGTCCAGGCTAACACATAGGAGCGCTCAGTGAGGGTGTACACTACAAGGAAGGAAAATAACTCTTCCCCAAAATGTTCCTTCTCACATCCCCAGAAGCTGTTCCCTTCCTGAACCACAAACTGGTTGAGTTGAGCTCAGGGCACTCTGTATTTCATGTCCCTGAGCCCCTTGAGAACAGTGGTGGTGCTGCTGCTCTGGACCACATGAGGTGAGGTTCTAGGCAGGGCAGATCAGCTCAAGAGGAGATGATGCTTTCCCTGCCTTTGTTTTCAACCTCTTGGGAAGCATTTGCATATGTGTTTGTGAACTCCCCGAGTGGGGCAGAGCCGCAGACAGGCTGCCCTGCAGAGGAGCATCCTGATCCTCAAGCTTCACAAGCGGCAAAGGTTTGTCTCCGAGTCGTGGGCCATCCCCCGTGTGCAGCTGCCGGGTGTTTCCAGCACTCCCTGGGAAGGAGCGTGGTGATGCTGACACGGACTGTCTTACAGGATCCTCCAGGGAGAGCTGAGGCGTTTGAAGTGGCAGCATGATGAGGCAGTGGAGTCTCCAACCTTGGCTACAGGCTCCCCTGAGTCAGTGCAAGACCCACACAACGACGAGCTCCTGGCGGAAGCGCGAATCCTCCGGCAGCACAAGAGCCGCCTGGAGACCCGCATGCAGATCCTGGAGGACCACAACAAGCAGCTGGAGTCCCAGCTGCACAGGCTGAGGGAGCTGCTGCTGCAGGTGTGCTCAGAGCAAGGATCTGGGACCTTGGGGCAGGCTTTGCCATATCAGAGCTGTGACAATGGCAGAAAGGGATGGTCACAATTGGGGGAAGAAAAGGACAGGGGACTATAACAACCTCCTTTCTCACTCCAGCCTCCAGCAGAGTCAGATGGCAATGGCTCAGCAGCATCCTCCTTGGCTTCATCTCCACATCAGTCTGAGGGAAGCCAGGCAAAGGAGAAAGAGCACAACACCCCTGACACCGAAGCTGCAGGTGAGGATTGGGTTTGGGCTGAGCTCCTGGCCCTGTTCCCTTGGTCCGATGCTGGGGGATGCTGCTTGCACCCTACCAGAGTACTGGTGGTGAGGTGGCTGTCCAGAGAGCCTGCTTACACCCTCCTGCCCTCTTTTCCACTGCAGATGAGGTGGAAGCCAAAACCCAGGAAGTCAGCATGTGCCTGGAAGACATAATGGAGAAGCTGCGGAGCGCCTTCCCCAACTCTCGAGGTACTTGAGTGAAATCCTCCTCTCTCGCTTCTTGCTGCTCCCTCAGATGAGGTTTTCCCCACAGAGCCCTGCCCCGATCCCAGCTTCCCTGCGACAGCTGATGACCCCCAGTGCTTACAGCCAAGAGCTCTGCTGCTGCAGCGCTGCTGGGACTGGTGCGTGGCCTGGGAGCAGAGAGGAGGAGGAGGAGGAGGAGGAGGAGGTTTCACACCTGCAAGGAGAGGCCATCAGAGCTGCCAAGAGTATGGACCAAATAGATGCCCCCAGATGAGGTGCAAGGCAGCCTCCTGCCCTGCTGAAAACCCTGCACCCTGCGGGGTTCCCCACCGTGAAGATGGACAGACCTGCCAGGATCCAGCCTGTAGTGATCACTTTGAGCCACCTCTTGGCTTCCTCCCTGTCCAGACCCCTCCAGGAGAGGTTGAGGCCCCAGTTACCTGGTGAGATGGAAGCGATGATGCAAGCTCTCCTGACTGCTCATGGACAGCTGTTCCCAGCAGGGTTGGAGACTGGGGGATGTGTGTGTGGAAGGCACTCCACTCACCCAGTGGGTTTGGGTGTTGGTCATTCTGCTCGTTCCCTCTTGTGCTCCAGTCCAGGAGCAGCACTTGGTCTTTCACCTTGGGGAGACAGCTTGGTGCCAGCACTAACACGAGGTGGTGGTCTGCCCGTGCAGACTCTTGCCCACTTCCCGCCATCCCCGAGCAGGATCCTGCTGGCTCTGTAGCAGCCCCCTTTAAGCAGGTGGCTCTGGGTCCTATTTTCCTGACCTGTCTATTTCTCTTTCAGGTATGACCTCCCTTATCTAACACCTCCTGTGAGCCAGAGGCTTTTCCTAACCAGCTACCTGGCTGCTTTCCTCCCCCTCCTCTCCCTGCCATGCTCCCTGTGCTGCAGCAGGCCTCGCACAGACTCCCTCTGAGCAGGTTGTGCAGGATGCTTGCCAGCTCCAGAAGATCTCAGGGGAACATAGGCCATGCAGGAGTGGGACTGTGGGCTTCCCAGGAGGCTGGCTTGGTCACTTGGCCACAGTGTCCGAGCCTGGGTGGAGTGGTTTGGAAGAAAGAACTGAAGCCATGAAAACTGCCTGTCTCCCCTGGCACCCAGGGGTTGCTGCCTTTGCCTGCAGCGCTGAGGGGGATGCAGAGCTCAGTCTCCCACTCTTCATTTTTCCCAGAAGCCTCCAGGTTTATGGGCACCAAAACACTCCTGGAGCCACCCAGTTTTTAAAATAACTCTTTATAACAGCATCCAGCTGCCAGCCTTATGGTTCAAGCTCTGCCACTCAAGGCTCTACAGCCAGCCAGGCACGTACCACCTGGAGAGAGTCTGTGAGGTTTATGGAGTAGGGATGAGTCCATGTTAGAGCTTCAGCCCAGCTAGTAGCCTTATATTGAGAGGGTCTTTATAACAGAGCCTTATTGTTTAATGTGCATATATTTCTATATATTATTTATATATTCTGTACTTAAACACTCTCATGGACTCACTCCATTAAATTCTAATACTGGAAGTGTAGCTGCCCTTCACTTTCAGACCAGCCCAACCTGCTCCCCTGGGAACCAGCACCTTCCCTGTTGCTGGTGTTGCAGCAGGGCTGCTGCGAGGGGAGCTCTCGGAGGGCTGGTCCCGCAGCAGGCTCTCCATCCCACCTGGTTTCCTGGGGATCTGTGCCTTTGCCGTGGCACAGAGAGCCTGTCCTGCACAGACCCAGCTCCATCCTTGGGGAGCCTCAGCTCCCGCAGGAAGGGGTTTCTCCAGCTGTACTCCAGCCCTGGGGTTGGTCTGATGCAGGTGCACAGCAGGACAGGTAGGGCACCTCCTTTCTGCCCCCAGGGAGCAGCTGCCTGGCTGCTGTCCCTGCCTTTGAGCTGAGATGGGGGGCTGAAGGCCCCTGTTGGAAGCAGGTGAGTCCTGTGGGTCAGTGGACGGGGGCTGTTGTGCAGGCTGGCAGGGCAGCTCGGGGGTGGGGGTGGCTCCTGGTCCCAAAAGCTCCCTCAGACTGGCTGTCTGGCTGTGTTATGTCGAGAAAGAGGCAGAGTCAGGTGCTGTGGGGTGACCGAGAATGGGGGCTGAGGTGGCTCCGGTGCTCTGGTGCCAGGACAGAGACAGGGCTGTTGTTGCTGGCTGGGATGGGATGCAGTGGTGAGCTGTTTTCAAGGAAGCTGGGACCAGGGCAGTGTGCTCAGGTCCAGGGCTGTGCAGTTGGCTTCAGTGTGCTGGCAGAGACGAGAACAGTGCCCACACCAGGGGTGAGGTGGTGTGAGCCTTTATGCCCATGTGTTCAGCATGTTGTGTACAGTGTCTGCTGGCAGTGGCATGGGTTGCTGTCCTCTCACAGCCGGGTGAGCGGCAGGAGGGCAGTAGCAGTGGTGTTAGGTGTTGGTGTTAGGCTGGCTTTGGGCATGCTGTGTGTCAGCATGGTGAGAGGGACCACAGGCCAGCCCCTGAGACCTGGCTGGACCCCTCTGTTATCCCAATGGCAGGATGGGTGCAGTGTGGGGAGGAGAGAGGTTTGGCCTGAGGATGAGGTGAGAAGTATCCAGCCTGGGGGGAGCTGGAGAAGAAAAAGGGGGCAGAGCTGCATGTCCCAGTGCCAGGTGTGGGGAGCAGAGGTGACCAGGTTGGGCACTTGGGCTGTGTCTGGGAGTTGGGATACGAGATGGGAGCAGGCTGGCTAATGTTCTGGTAACCATGTACTGTGGTGCTGCTGTCCTCACTGCTTTGTGCCATCTCTGCTCTGGAAAGAGAATAAATTTGTATTTATACTGAAACCTGGATGAGTGCTCTGGCCTCTTCTATCCATGCATCTCGTCTGAGTCAGCTCCCATTGCTGTGCCACCCTGGCACAGCTCCTGCAGGGCTGCTGGGACACAGCCTGCACTGTCACCCTGGCTATCAACACCACTTGAGGCAGAAAAGAAGATGAGAGCAGGGCTCCAGGTTCCCCAGACACAGGTGTGTCCCCCAACCACCTTCTTGGTCCTCTCACAGCAAGGTCTGTCCAGAGCCATGTGGCACCTGGGGGCTGGGACAGGGCCTGTGTGGGGACAGTCCCTCTTTCTCATCCAGGAACTTTTGCTGTAGGAAACCCTTCAGCCCTGGGAAGGATGTGGGACAGCAGTGGGATGCTGGGCAGGCAAGGTAGTCCTCTCCTTCCATACTTTCTTTCTGGAGCTGCATTAAATCTTCAGTGCCCAGAGGTGTCCGGGTGCCTCTGCCCTGAGTGCTGCCCGTGTTCACTGTGCCCAGTGAGGAGCTCAGGTGAGGAGCAGCTCAGGGTAAGGCTGGGGGCTCTCAGGCCCTCCCCACTGTGCAGGGTGCAGCCCAGACTGATGGTAAAGCCTGGACAGGACTGATACTTTTATAGCTGGACCTGCTCCACCCCTGTCTGGAAGGGCTGGCGGTGCTGGGCAAAGTCCTGATACGGTGCCACTGCAGGGAAGTTTGGGGACACTCACACAGGAGAGATTCAGGAGCTTAAATGGGTGTGGGTGCTTAAATGCAACCTCCTTAACTGCCTCTTTCAAGAATAACACGAACTGCCCCATCCCTGTGCCACGGGCTCCAGGGCAAGGCGGGAGGTGTGGTCTATGATCAGGGAAGCCGGTCACGTCCAGGAACAACTCCAGCACATGGTGCCAGGGAAGAGCTTTTATTTCTCAGCCAGCAAAGCTCCGTGGCGCCCAGCTGAAAGGCGCTGGAGCCCATGAGTCGGGGCAGGGGTGCAGAGGGCACTGCTGCACAGCAGGGACAGTGGGCTCAGTGATGGCAGGGTTAGGACAGCATTGTTCCCTTGTCACTGCTGGGCCAGACCGAGCCCCAGGGCTCCCTCTCAGGGCACAGAAGCCCTGCTGCCTGTGCTGTGTCTCCTTGTCAGTGCTCTAGCAGCCTTTCCCCCATGCAGGGGTAACTGGCCTTGCTCATCACTGCACTGCCCACTGCCCCCTTCTCTGGCTGCCCCAGAGGTGAAGCTCTCTGGGGGGATGTTCCCTTCCCCAGCATTTTCTCATCTGCTGCCTGCTCGCTGCTCCCTGCAGCTTGCCTCTTCCAGAGCCTCTCCAGGTGTCTCATCCTCCATGTCCTCCATCTCTGGGGACCCCTCAGCTGGCTCCAGCCCCTCACTGGGAGGCCCCGGCTCTGGGGCTCTGTCTGGCTGAGACTGAGCTGCACTCCCTGTGCCAGCTTCCTCTGTCCCACTGGCTCCTTGCTCCAGCCCCTGCTCAATCCCTGCTGCCTCTGTCCCCCCTGATGCCCCACATTGCCCTACACCCAGCCTTTCCATCTCTGCTGATAGACTCTCTTCCTCTTTGTCCTCCTCCACTTTTCCCTTTGCTACCTTCTCTTCCTCTCTCTCCCCTTTTCCCTCCTTTTCTTTTTCCTTTTCCATCTCCTCTCCCTCTTGCAATTTCTCATCTTCCTCTTTTGCCCCCCTCTCTCCCTTCTCCTGCCTCTCCTCTTTTTCTTCCTTTTCTTCCACCTTCTCCACCTCCTCTTCCTCCAATTTTTCATCTTCCTCCTCTGCCCCCTTCTCTACCTTCTCCTCCTCCCCCTCCTCTTCTTCCTTTTCTTCTTCCTTTTCTTCTTCCTCTTCTTCTTCCTCTTCTTCTTCCTCCTCTTCTTCCTTTTCTTCTTCCTCCTCTTCTTCCCTTTCTTCTTCCCTTTCTTCTTCCCTTTCTTCTTCCCTTTCTTCTTCCCTTTCTTCTTCCCTTTCTTCTTCCCTTTCTTCTTCCCTTTCTTCTTCCCTTTCTTCTTCCCTTTCTTCTTCCCTTTCTTCTTCCCTTTCTTCTTCCCTTTCTTCTTCCTCTTCTCCCTCCTCCTCTTTCTCATCTTCCTCCTCTGTTCCCAGGCTCTCTGGCTTTGCCCCACAGGTGCCCAGCTTTATGTCTTCCCCCAGTCCTGTCTGATCCCTCGCTTCCACCTCTGCCCCTGCAGGCTGTCCCTGAGCTGCTTCTCCTTCTGGTGCCACCCCTTCACCCTCAGCCCTGGGGGTCCCTTGTTCTGCTTGGGCAGCCCCTGGTTGTTCTGTTCCTTGGGTCCCTCCATCCCGCTCCCCCTGCCCAGGGCTCTCCTGAACCCCAACCTCCCCCTGAGGTGCCCCATCACCCGCCTCCCTGCTCTCCCTCCCCTTGCTGGCCCGACGACCCTGGGACGACTGGAAGAGCCCCTGGTAGCGCTTCCGATCCTCCACATGCTTCTTCCTCATCCTCTCCCCCAGCTGCTTCAGCTCCTTCTTCACGGCGGCCGCCATGGAGGGGTCAAGGTGAGCCACACGCATAAAGTCCTCCCGCGCCTCCCGCTCGTTCCAGACTGCAGCATGAGCCTTTGCCCGCTTGAAATAGGCCTTGGCATTGTCTGCCAGGAGAGAAGAGCCCCCAGTGGGGGTCCTGCAGCTCAGGGCCACCAGCCACGGGAGCTGGAGAGGCCCTGGGAACCAAGGGACATGAGGCACGAGGAGCAGGGGGATGTGGGGTGAACACACCTGTAAGGGAGGGTAGGGAGACCTGGGCAGCAGGGCACAGGGGGTGCAGGAATCATCATGGAAAGGGGAAAACTGGTGTGGTGGTGGTGGTGGGGGACCTAGAGGTGCCATTGTGGGCAGGGGAAACCAGGGTCGTGGGCACTGTCACAGGCAGGGGAAACTGGGTTCTGCAGTGGATGTGGGGATCCAGGTGACATAGGTACTATCACAGGGAGAGGGACATGGGATGAGCATTGCCACGGATGGGGGATCCAGAGGACAGAGTCCCCGGGAGCAGAGGGTTGGGATGCAGGGCACAGGTACCATTGTGCTTCTGGAGAAGCTCCGTCGTGTGCTCCAGCACCTCGTAGTACTCGCCGAGCTCCAGCTGGCACTGGCAGTAGTTGAGCACCAGGGGTGTGACCAGGCTCTCCAGCTTCAGCCAGTCATCCTCCCATGGCTTCTCCTGCCCCGGGGAGAAACACTGGGTGCTTCGGGGCTATGGTCATCCCCTCCCAGGCACCCAAGACCCACAGGGAAGCGCTCTGAGGCACGACCCAGGCAGGGTTGTCAGGAGGCTCACCTTGGCCTGGAGGTTCCTCAGGCAGATCACAGCCTCCTGGTACTTGGCGGCCGCCTGTGCGAACTCTCTGCGGAGGACGAGGCGATTGCCCTCGCTGTGCAGCACAGGCACTGCTGCCAGCTTCTCCTCCTTGTTCATGGCCCAGGTGTCACGCTTGTACGCTGAGGGCTCCTCCACCTGCACAGGCGGGAGGAGTTGAGCTGCCTGTCCGGGCCGTTCCCGCTCTGGCAGCCATCCCTCCATCCCCCTTACCCGGAACAGCTCCATGATGAAGATGAGGGGCTGCGGCGTCCGCTGCAGCTCGTCCAGGTCAGCATAGCCCGTGCTGTGGTAGTCAAACATGTTGCCCATGCCACAGCGGTGCTTCTGCCCTTCCAGGGGGTCCCGTCCCTCTGTGATCCTCCGCATGCCCCTGGAGACCAGGGCATACATGCCTGTGTGCTGCAAGGAGGGGGAGCACTCCGCTCAGTGCATGGGCACAGTCTGTGCCCCTTCCTCTGGGGCAGCCCCCCTGGTGACCTGTGGCTAAGTGACACCTGTGCCCCCTGTGCTTGCACCAGACAAAGCTGGAGCACCTGTGGGATGCACGGTCCTGTGCCCTGGCTCTACAGGAAGGAGGGAAATGGGCCCCTCACTCACAATGATGTCGCACCAGAACTCTGCCACCTCCCCAATTCTCATGGAGCTGAGCAGCGTCTCCCATATCTCCAGCTTGAACATTTTGCCCACGATGATCTCCATGGGCATTCCAGCTTCCCGGCTGTCATCGATCACCGTCCGCTCAAAGTTGTCCTTCAGCGTCTGGAAGTGGAAGGTGAACTGCCCCGGAGAAAGCCCAGTGTTCAGTCCCCTTGGCAGTCCCAATGACCTGAGCTGTGGGGTCAAGCCTGCTCCCAGCAATGTGCTGGTTTGACTGGCAGCTCTCCCCGTGCAGCAGGAGGTTGTGACTGCTGCCCACTTGTCCGAAGACAGCAGGCGGATGGTGGAGCATCTTAACGCCCATCTGTGCTGCTCCCTATGGATCCCCCTATGGAGAGCCCAGTACAGAGGGTGCTCTCGCAGTATGCATCAGGACCTGGTGGAAACAACAGTGATCTGCCCATACCCAGGGTCTGGGGAATCTCCCAAGAACAACCCACTGGCCCACTTCACTCCTGCTTGAGGAGGAAAGGCAGGAAAGGCAAATTTCAGCAACTCATGGGGACTGCTGAGCTCTAACGGCACCAGGACAGAGGGAAGAGGTGTCACAGGCCCAGTGCAAGGTAAGGCCGTGGGCAAGGTGGCTGCCTGTGCCCAAACCAGCCCTTCCTACACTCTCTTGTGAGGGGTCTCGCTGTACTCCAGACCTGGAGCTCAGCTTACGAACTGTAATGGGCAGGACTGGTGGTGTCAGACCCACTCCCTCTCCCAGGGCCTTGGGGGAACAACAAACAAAGACAATTTACCTTGCTCCCATCCTGCAACTTCGGCAGCTCCCCATGGCCTCCATGCAGAATCTTCTTTTTGACCCCTTCCACGTTCAGAAGGTAGGTTTCCTCCATGGCTGCTCCTGCCAGCCCCCAGGAGCAGCTCACAGGCACGTGCACGTGAGCACGCTCTTGCCCTTCTTGAGCTCCACGTCTTCCTCAGGCTTATCTCTCTTTCTTGGCTATCTGGACACAGCTGTCATCTCCCAGGGCTGCTGCTGACCTTTCCTTTCTGTGCAGGGGGCAGTGCTTGGAAGCCTTCTCCCTTTCGCTTGCCCTTTGGGTTGTGAGAGGGGTGTCCTGCCGTAGCACACACTTGCTGAAGCCCCCGGTGTCCTCCGTTGCCTCCTGTAACCACCGTTCTAATCCTCTTCCCACCCTGTCAGGTTAATCTGGGATTTGCCTGCCTAGTCTGTGAGGAATTACAGAAACTCCCTGTTTAGGAGGCCCTCGTTCCTCCCCCAGAGTGATGGCGCACAGTCACTTTTGACCCAGCCCCACACGGAGCATTTTGAGGAAGGAGCCCAGCAGTGTCCCAGAGGTGCCCAGGAACAGCTCCCTGCCAGGGGCTGTGTGTAGCCAGACCCTCAAGAGACCACACAGGAACAGAGCAGGGCTGGAAATGGTACTTTATTAGAGTTTGCTTAGAGTTTCCTCAAACACAAGAACAAGCTCCTACCAGGCCACAGCCCATCGAGCCCCAGATTCAATAAGATGCAGAAACCAACACTGTGCTGTCCCAGGGTGATCAGTGAGTATTTACAGTAAATCCGGTGCTTTGGCTGCTCTCACAGGCACAGTCCAGTTCTTCAGCTCCACCAGCCAAACCCAGCACAATGGATGCGGAAGCAGCTCTGGACATGGAACCTCTAGCACTGCCCAGCACCACTTCTGGCAGCAGAAGTGTGTGAGTAAAGCAAAGACTTCAGCACGGCAGGTGACCACCACTTTCAGCTCTGCTCACAAAGACCCAAGCCCACTCCTCATTTCTCCATGAGGGACTCCAGCTGCTCCTGCAGGGATGCCATCTGGGAAGAGGGAGAGAGGATTACAGTCAGGCATGGCTGGGACTCTGGGCAGCCCCAGCCTCAGCATTTCTGTGTTCCTGCAGATCTTCTACCCGTGCCAGTGGCTGCTCTGCCTGTGTGTTGCCCGGAGCTGTGCCTGGGCACCTCTGGAACAGAACTGGCACTGCCCACAGGAACTTGGGAGAAAGAACCTCCTGCCTTGGTACCTGGCTGGAACAAAGCTGCCCAGGCAGGAAATCTGCCAAGAGTCTACAGCCACTGCCTTTCTGGTACATGGATGCCAGTGGGTCTGTGTGTCAGCAATCCTGGCAGCTTTAGACTGCTGACTGGACATGTTTTGGCTCACTGCTCCTTAAGAAGGAAGGCTGCAGTCAACCCACTCCCTGTATCTCCTTGTGCCTCAGGAAGCTCCATGCAACTACAGGTGAGGTACAACCCCACCTGACCTGTAATACTGGAGTTCTCAGCAGCTGATGTGGTACAGGATTGGGGAAACTTTGTCAGAGGCCAAGCCTAGAACCACGTTGTGCCCCAGTACTTTCCACTCCACTGTGGGAGCTTCCTCACCTGCTGTTTCTCTCGCTCTTCCTGTTGCTTGAACTCATCCAGGACAGCCTGGAGACGGGTCTGTAGAGACAAACATGCCAAAGCACAGTTACCAGTGAGATCTCAACTGAATGGGTGCTGGCACAACATGTCAAGTAGTGCAGCAAGCCCCAAGCTGCACTGACACCCCCTTATCTCCTCCACTTCCACAGACTGCTTTGCTTCCACAGGGAAATGCTGGAGTGTGTATGACCACACCATAACTATTTTTAATCCAGCATGCAAAGGCCCCTGGCTTTTCCAGGGCAGCAGCTAAATCAGTCTGCTGGATCTAATGGCAAGCCAGTGCTAAGCAGAGGACTTGAAGAGACCCCAGAAGAGCTCTCACCTTGAGGGCCAGGTTCTCCACTTTCATGATGAGATCCTCCTGGCGCTTCCTCCTGTCTTGAGTTTCCTGGAGTTTACTTTTCAGATTGTCAATCTGTTTCTGGATCCCCATGGCTGGAAGGGAGAGTGAGCTCACACCCAGAGCAGCAGCAGAGCTGGGCAGCGCAGCCTGCCTGGCATCCCAACAATTCTGCTGTGCTCTGCCACCCACTCACCAATCTGGTTGGACCCCTCATTCTCCTGCTGCTGCCCATCAGACTCATTCAGCTTGTCCTGCAGCTGTCTCTCCAAGTCTTCCTCAGTGTCCATGATGTTCAGGTCTTCGTCGTCATGATGATCCCTCTCATCTTCGTCCTCGCTGCTGCTGCTGATATCATTAAATATCTCCCGCAGTTCATCGTGTTCTAGGTGGGGGAAAAAGAGTTAAAACACAGCTGATGACCTCCCAGCACCCTCTGCCTGCCAGGGACCACATTACTTAGTAGGTAGGAAGAAAACAAGAGCCCTCCCCACTGCACCTGAGGAGCCGTGGCCTTGCTTGTGTCCCGACATCCCTGGGGAAGAGATGTCCAGGCTGGTGAGTGAACCATGGTTGTCCACTTCTTTTGTTTCATCTTCAGCAATGACTTCCCAGCCTGACAGCAGGAACAAGTGAGTCAAGGGAAAAAGAGGAACGTGGAAGATGTGGTATGATGGAAGAATGCTAAAAACTGCAGGAGATCACTGCCCCTTCAGCAAGTCTGGCCTTGTAGCTAAGGATACCCAGGATGAAACACCCCAGACTCCTTTTTTTGATGACTTCTCCTCTGCTGTTATTACAGTTCCTGCTCAGCACAACAAGAAAGATCACCATGAGGAAACAATAAGCTTTGAACATGGCAAAGATGGGGCTCCCAAAATTCAGTGCCTCTTGTGCGCTTATCTCCCAGTCTCCCCCACCCACGCAGAGCTCAATCTGTCTGTCCTTTCCAGAACCCCCAGGTCACACAGTGTCCTGTCCCACTCTTGAGTTTTTTTCCCCACTGAAAGGATACGGACACTGACAGCTTCGGCATCGGTGCTCAGGAGACGCTTCACCTCTTTTTCCACATCAGGAGACTCAATATACTGGGCCAGAGAGGGGAAAGAGAACAGAGACACTGCTAAATGCCTCGTGCATGTTGCTGGTGCGGGTCAAACCCAACCCTCCACCTCTGGACAGAGCCCTGTTTCAAGGCTCCCTTTTCTTAGAGTTTTCTGCTCAGCATTTGTTTATGCTCAACCAAGAAGTAATTTGTGCACCCCTAAAACAATCCCTCTTTTTTCTGTACAGAGCTCCTCGGTGGGTTGTGTGCTCTTGTTTTTCTGCTCATACTACTTATGAAATAAGACTGTCCATGTGTATGCAGAAAGTCCTTGAGGTGTTGATGGTCAGCTCAACTCCTTCTGATCTCACTCAAAAGATGGTTTACTTTTTCACTTTTAAATTAATCAGGAATCTTCTGCTGTGATCTCTCTCCTGTGGGCTATAAGAACATCTCAAGTAATTTGTTTCCCAAATGTCATGCAAAATCACACTCCATCCTGTTCTCAGAAACTGCAAAGGAGAGAAGAACAAGTCTTCCCAGCCTCAGGGTGCTGCATCTCTCCAACACCTTGCCTGGCTTGTGCATATGCACAGAGACAGTCTCTGAGCTCCATCTGTTGTCACTCCCCCTGCTGAAGTGACAGTTGTACTATTTGTAGCACTGCCTGTTGGGGAAGGGAAAGGGCCAGGCAGAGAGAGAAGATTGGGAAAGCAGGAATGAGTGAAGCCTCATTTCCATGCGAGTCTCCCTTCCTTTCCTCTCTATGAGCAGGAGGAGATATGCTATGGCAAGGCAGCCACAGGAATGAAGTCCAGCAGCAATGCTGCCCCTCAGGAGCATCTTGGAAAACATGGAGGAAGCACTCAAAGAAGTGTTTAAATTTACTACCCTCCCTTCACCCTCATCTCAGGCAAGAAAACGTGCAGGAATGTTAAGAAATCCCATGTTTTCTGGACCAGTAGACAGTTATAGCTCTAATGTCTCTGCCTTCCCATCCCTTGGGTATTGCATCTGCATCTGTGTGAGAAGCAACTCACCTTCTTCTTAGCTGTCTTCCGGAATCGCCTCTTCCGCACGTTTTTCAGGGGAAGAGTGACTGTGACAGAGGAAACAGATTGCATGTGTCAGGCAGATGGCCCAGTGAGGGAAGTGCATGTCAGAAGGGAGGAGACCCTTCAGCAGCAGAGAGAGCCCTGGAAATGGAGCAGCAGCACAGCCAGTACCTGGCAGCTGTGAGTACCCTGCACAGACGTGGGGTATTGAGGTGGAGGAGTTTGGAGGGGTTTGGCACAGTCTCTACTCACTGCCATGGTTCCATATGAATTTCTTCTCTCTGTCCTTGTCCTTCTTCTTGTTTGCCTTGGGGTCAGTGCTCACAGTCTGCTCTTCCAAAGGGGGGTAGAGATCACCATCCACGGTGCAAACAAGCATCTGGAATCCCCACAGAAACGCAAAGGTTTATCGTAAGGCAAGGACACGAGGATGTGAAGGAACAGCATCTGCCCACTGAATGTTGTGAGCCAAAGGGATTCAGGGGCGCAGGGTGTGGGAAACACAGTTTCACACCCAGCTCAGCTGGACACAGCAGCAGTTAAGGTGTCACAAGGACAATCGTATTTCATGCTCTAGAAATGAGGTTTCTAAACACCAAGCGGAATGGGGAATTTCAAACTGCTAATACTGTGAGATACAGAAATTGGCCAAGTTATACTGGATGTCCAGCTGCCAGAGTGTGCAAGGGTTCTCCTGGGGAGGGGAGCAAGGAATTAAGCTGTTGGGGCAGGCAAGAAGGACAGCCCATACCTGGCAAATATCCGCTGTCTTGTAGAAGGTTTTCTTGTCGATGGTTTTTAAGCTCTCGATGATGCAGGGCAGATCCACCAGCTTGGCTGCCAGTGGCACCCGGTCCACACGGACAATCCCATGGCGCCCATCCGCTGTGGAGAGCCATGGGAACAGGTCAGTGCTGTGGCTAAACAGCCACACTGGGCAATACATCCCCAGGCACAGAAACTCCAGAAGACAACACATGCAAGTGGCACAGCTTCACCTGCGGACAGCCAGAGGAGGTTTAAGATGCCCTGGTGCTGCTCACTCACCGTGCAGCTCAATGGTGAGCCTGTCTTTCAGGTTGACATTCCCGGACTGGACCGCTCGCCGCACAGTGGAGGCATATTCCTGGCAAGGTTGGACACACTTACTTCAGGAAAGGGTGTGCTTCCTCCAAGAATCCCCAAAGGCTTCTGCACAACCCACCCAGCTTTAAACACCTGCCAGCCCCATGCAGAATGGCAACTGAAAGAGCCACGATGACAACTGCACCCTCCTCCCAACATCACGTCAGTCCTGTGACTTTGCTGCTCCTGGTGCTCTCCATAGCCCTGGCATGACACAGTGGTGTGAGGGCCCTGACAGACACACCTGCCAGAGCAACGTAGAGTTGGGGAAGTTACAGCTCCCTGCACCAAGCCCTTGTGGTCTCAGCAGGACAGTCACAGAATCCCAGAATGGTTGGGGTGGGAAGGGACCTCTGGAGATCATCCAGTCCAACCTCCCTGCCAAGGCAGGGTCACCTGGAGCAGGTGACACAGGAAGGCACCCAGGTGGGTTTGGAATGTCTCCAGAGAGACATGTCTCCACGACCTCCCTGGGCAGCCTGTTCCAGTGCTCTGCCACCCTCAATGCAAAGAAGTTCTTCCTTGCGTTGAGGTGGAACTTCTTGTGCTTTGTTTTACGGCCACTGCTCCTCGTCCTGTCGCTGGGCACCACTGAAGACAGACTCTCAGCTTCAAGCAACCTAACCAATATCATCGAGGCCACTTACAGCCACAGCAACTGTAGAGCCAGCACTTGCTAAGTCTCCACAACCTAATCCTCTCGGTTATCTCCCGAGCCTCCTGCTCTGTGTGGCAGGAGCTCCTCTCCAAGGGAGGCCTTGAAAAACCCGTCCAGAAGACTGGGAGCGGGCCACCTCGGTCCCAGAGCCTCCAGCCCGCTTCCACGTCCCTGGCCGGACCCGCAGATCCCATCGCTGACTCGCCAAGCCCCCCCAGACGCGGCGATCGCCGGGCAAACGGGGCTGAGCTCGCCGTGACCCGCGCCGGCACCGAGCGGGCTCTCACCGGCGGCAGCCGCAGCACGAACTGGCTCTCGAGCTCGTGCGGGGCATCGTCCTTGCCCTTGCTCATCCTTCCTCCTCCAGCTCGGCAAACGAGACGCGCTCACCCCGCCGCCGCCGAGGCTCCGAGCCCGTCCCCGTTCCCGCGGAAGCCGAGCCCGGTGCCCGCCCCTTCCGCTCCATCCCCGGCCGGTCCCCGCCCCGCCGGGGAAGGCGCCGGGGCCATGGGGGCCGGGTTCGGCCTGGGGCTGGGGCTGGCCCTGGCCTCCAGCGCCTTCATCGGCGGCAGCTTCGTCCTGAAGAAGAAGGGGCTGCTCCGGCTGTGCCGCCGCGGCCGCGCCAGGGCAGGTACGGCCGCTCCGGGCATCGCGACCTGCGAGCCTCGTGTGTCGCTTCGTCCGTGTCGCTTCATCTGAGGCTTTCCTGTTTCTCTTTCTTCCGCACTCAGGGCAAGGAGGGCACGCGTACCTGCGGGAATGGCTCTGGTGGGCAGGGCTGCTGTGCAGTAAGTACCGCGCTCACCCCGCGGTGAGACACGCTTGTGACAGAATGGGTCGTGGCAGGGGCCTTAAGGACCACGAGCAGGGACACCTTCCGCTAGCCCAGGCTGCTCCAAGCCCCGTCTCACCTGGCCTTGGACACTCCCAGGGATGGGGCAGCCACGGCTTCTCTGGGAAACCTGTGCCAGGGCCTCACTGCCCTCACAAGTAAAGGATTTCTCCCTGATATCTAATGTAAACCTGCTCTCTGCCAGTTGGAAGCCATTCCCCCCTATCCTGTCACTACATGCCCTTGTAAACAGTCTCTCTCCAGTTCTCTTCGGGTACTGGAAGGCCACAATTAGGTCACCCCACAGCCTTCTCTTTTAAGAGTGTTTATGGTTGTTTCTAGTCACTTTCATGTTTTATTATGATGGTCATTGTTTGCTTGATTTTTATCCAAGTGTCTGAGGATGATGTTGATCTAATTTTAACTCTAAAATATCCTTAAGTCTCGTGCATTACCAGGTTTCTCTGCTAAGCAGGACCTGAGGAGCTGGTCTAGCTGGGTTGGGTTGAGTGCTTCTGAAGTGGCCTGCACAGAGAATGTTGTGATAACAGAACATCCAGCACTGTTTGATGCTACAGCAATTTCAGCAGCTCCACTTTACACCTTTCAATGTTAAGAACCAACTGTACTTGATTTACCCTTAAAAAAGCTGTAAAAGCAGTTCCAGGAGAAGAACACCTCTTAGAAATACAAACTCCTTTCAGCTTTGTGGCTGTTGTGGCAATAGTTTCCTGTGGTTGCTGCTTGCTGTATAGGCACATGTGACCAAGGATCACCATGCATAACACTGAGCCTTCCCTTCCCAAGAGAACGTGTGTGGGGCTTCTGGTTGTTCTTGCTGGTGCTGTTCTTTCCCAGTTGCATGACATACCTCAGAGAAACACAGGATGCTCAGGTGGAAACCGAGGCTTTTCTGACCAGACTCAAACTTGTATTATGGTAAATTGCTCCTACTTCGATGCTCACCCAACAGAATTTCTCTTCCAGTGGGAGTTGGAGAAGCTGCAAATTTTGCTGCCTATGCCTTTGCCCCTGCAACACTGGTAACTCCGCTGGGTGCTCTAAGTGTCCTTGTTAGGTAAGCAGCCTCAGAAACACCCTCACCTCACCTACTACCCCTGAGTGACGAAAGCAGGTGCTCTGCTTTCCTTCCTCTCTTCTCTCAGGTACTCCCATCTCTTGCCTTAATTAGTTTTGAGTGGATTTTTTCTTACTATCTTTCAGTGCAGTTCTGTCTTCCACCTTCCTCAATGAGCAGCTGAATGTTCATGGGAAGATTGGCTGCATCCTGAGTATCCTGGGCTCCACTGTGATGGTGATCCACGCTCCGCAGGAAGAAGAGGTTTCCAGCCTGGAGTCAATGGCAGAGAAGCTGAAAGATCCAGGTACTAAAATAAAAGGGGTCCTGTCAACTTCAGGCTCAGAACTGACAGTAGAAGGTGGGACACAACTTGGCTAGATTAGTAAGGACTGAACTAAATGGTAATGGAGGTGTTTCTTGTCCTGCAGACACAACTGGAATCATTAGCAGTTACCAAGTGGGCTTTTTTTTTTACTGTCTATGAGGTATAGATGCAAAAATTGAAGAGCAGGGGTGGAGCTGTCAGCAGAAGGGGTTGGCCTGTGGCAGTGCCAGGATAGGAGAGGGAATTCCTGGACACAAGGGTGGCAGTGGTGTGGCTGAGGGAAGGCAGAGGAGGACCTTCAGGCAAAGATGAATGAAATCAATGAGTTACATCCAAGATCAGGTAGTCTTGGTGCTTATGTCAGAGGGTAAATCAAGTTGCAAGGCTTTGATGTGGGCAATAGCACAAATGGCAGAATAAGCCACAAGAGATGGAGGGAGGAAGGAAGCACAGGCAGAAGAGCAAAGCAGAGTAACAGGTAGATGCTGCTGCTCATTAGAAGGAACACTCTGGCAGGGCCTCGCACTCCTGTTATGTGGCACTTTCCTTTTTATCACACCACAGTCTCCAGAGTTCAGCCAGGGCTTCCCAAGCCTTCTGCCACCCTCCTGAGCCTCCTGCAGAACTGGTCAACAAGCCTCCCACCTCTGCTAGTGCCCTGGAGCCTGGCTGTGCCCCTGCCACTACCAGCATGGGCTATATCTGACAGCCTGACTTGTGATTGCACTGTAAAGAGCTGCTGCTGGCTCTGCAGCTTTGCTCAGGCTGCAGACTGACTCTGTTTCCCAACCCCATTCCTTTCAGATGGAGCCAAAAAGACAGACTGATGGGGCAGTTACCCCGTCCTCTGTCTCTGCTTGCTGTCCAGTTACATCTGTCACTGTGTTCTGACAGAGCTCTTTCATTCTTTCCCCAAGGATTCATTGCATTTGCTGTTTGTGTCCTGGTGAGCTCCCTTCTGCTTATCTTTGTGGCTGGACCCCGTTATGGACAGAGCAACGTGCTGGTTTATGTTTTGGTCTGCTCTGCCATTGGCTCACTGTCTGTATCCTGTGTCAAAGGCCTGGGCATTGCCCTCAAAGAACTGTTTTCTGGGAAGCCAGTCCTGAAAGAGCCACTGGGCTGGGTGCTCCTGGTGTGCCTGGTGATCTGCATCAGCATCCAGATCAACTACCTGAACAAAGCCTTGGACATTTTCAACACATCTGTAGTCACACCCGTTTACTACGTGCTGTTCACCACAGCAGTCATGACGTGCTCCACCATCCTCTTCAAGGAGTGGCAGCACATGGTGCTGGACAACGTCGTCGGCTCCATCAGCGGCTTCCTCACCATCGTGTCTGGCATCTTCCTCCTGCACGCCTTCAGGGACATGCCCTTCCCCCCCAGCCTCCTGCCCCTCTTCCTGCAGCCAGGCAGGGCAGACCTACATCCCCCATGGAGCAGTGCAGACAGACACCAGTCCTGTCAGCACCAGCCTCTGCTGCCCTCAGAGGACAAAGGTTCTCAGAGCGCAGAGGAGGAGGAGAAGTGAAAGCGTGTGAGGATGCCTGTGAACTGCTGGCTTTCTGCTCCCACTGCCAAGGCTGAACATGCTGCCTCAGCTGCTGCTGCACTAGCCCGACCTGGCAGTCACCCTCTGCCTGTCCCAGGTGCCACATGGGTGATGTGCCACTGACAGGAGTCTGGCAGAGCCAGCAGCCTCCTGTGGCTCCAGACAGGAGCCCTGGGAAGCGCCCAGTTCCTTGGATCCTGTGCTTCTTCGCTATTCTTTTACGTGAAGAATTGATCTGCCCTCATCAGGACCCAGAACCTGGCTGTGCAGAGACCTGCAGCACTAACACAGTGCTAACCCTGCATGGCAGACCACACCTCTGGGGAGGCCTTGTAGCATTTTTTAAAAACAGGATTAACAGCTACAAAATGATCTAACATGGTGCTAAGGTTGCACAGAGAGAAGATGGATGTCTGGCTTGAAAGGTGACACACACAGAATAGTAATTAAAGATTCCTCTGTCCAAGTACTTGTTTTGCTCACTCTGCTAGAATTTATTTACAGATTCACATCCAAGAACAGAATACAGCCCAAACTGGGAAACTTCAGTGGTGCTGCCACGTGCTGCTGTGGCTCTTCAGAGGGACCAACCTCTTCATGCAACATCTGCTGTGCAGGTTGATGAAGCACCTGCTTACTGTATTCTATTAAAAACTGATCTGTTCAGTTCCTCAAGTGGTGAGTGATACATTTGTACCGAGAGCTGGGCTAGCTGAAAGGTGTGAAGAATCACAGGGGTAGGAAGAACTCTGCGAATGCTCCAGAGAAATTCAAGTTAGGACAGGAGAGGGAACCACTTACTCTGGGAACCTAGTCCTTAGCTATTGAGGTAAGTTTCTGAAAGATAACCAGACAGCTGTGTCCTCACTGATGTGGGTTTATATCAGCACAGCTGTTTAACACATCCTGAATTTGTTCCCAGGAAGGCTTGCTGGCCACAAGCCACTCACAGGTGCTGTCCAGCCCCAGGCTCCCCAGAGCCACACTGCCTTCCCAGAGAGCGGATCAGTTGTTGGTTGTTTTTCCAGTTAGAAGCTCCTCTTTGTGTCCTGGGGGCAGAGGTCCAGAAGACACACCCACGGGCCTCCCACCAGCGACCTCCACAGGTAAAAGTGCACGAGGTGATAAAGCAGCTGGTTAGTTATTTCCTGCTTTCAGTCTCTCTAAAGAAACTACAGGACAGCAGGAGCTGTTAAACCTTTAGGGAAGAAGGGGGAAGGCCACAGACTCTCCCAGAAACAGGTTTGATTCATGGGACCAAATTAATTCAGCAACAAATCACAATTCAGAAAAAAACCCTTCTAGCCAAAGACAATTATGCCCTCTTCCTATTAATTTTACAACAAACAGGATCACTGGGATGGAGGGGGAGTGACAAGAAGGCCAGATTTTCCATTCTCAGCCGTGATCTACCTGAACAAAGGAGAATCTCATGTTAAAAATTGACCCAGTTATTATTTATTACATTACCCAGGGAAAGCAGTTAATGGAGCAAGTCAGCATCGACAGAGTTGTGCTGCAGTGTGAAAATTGGTCACTTGGGCATATGAATGATTTACCTACGGAAGCCTGACAGTATTTTCCAGCGGTGACACTGCCTGGGATGATCACTGTTCCCAAGGAGCTCTTCTGGCTCAGGTGCCTGTCCCAGCCTGGGATGGTGCCTGGGGGGATGTCAGCACGTACCCAGGAGGGCTGGTCTCTGCAGCACTGTTTAAGGCAGCAACCACAGGCTGGCCTCACCCAGAGCCCAGCTTCACATCAGCACTGGAAACACCCATGGAATGAGCATCACCACCCCTCTCCTCAGCCGAGGGGGCACGTCCCAAGTGCAGGGTCCCAGCACAAAGGCAGCCACCGGGAGCGGCACATCACCCCGGCATGGAGCGTCCGTGTCTCTGTTGTGGGCTCTCATCTGGCTGCAGCTTCCCCGAGATGGCATTTAATTAAATCCTAACCCCCTGAGCTGATCCTGGCTCCTTCGGGAGGAGTGGGCCTGGGCCAGGCCTGGCCTGGCAGGGGCTGGGTCCAGCTCAGTCGGACAGGCTCTCCGAGAAGGCCGACTTGGACTTCTGCGTCTGCTCCAGCCGGTTCAGGATGAACTGGCTGGTGTCGATGAAACGCTCCACGCAGTTCACGAAGCACGTCTCGGCCCGGCTGTCCAGCTTCGGGCCCGGCTTGTCCATGCACTTCTCCTGCACACAGGACCTCCTGTTGGTCCCGGGGGCACCGCAGCCCGACCCTGACACCCCCTGCCCCCCCTGCACCGGGGCCGTGCCCCCGGGCATCGCCAGCCCTCGGACGAGATGGCGTCACCCCCCTGCTCGGGATCCTTGTCCTCCCGGGATCCTCATCCCCTCGGGGTCCCCATCCCCTCGGGATCCTCATCTCCTCGAGGTCCTCATCCCCTGGGGGGGTCTCCATCCTCTCAGATCCTCATCTCCTCGGGAGTCCCCATCGCCCCGGGATCCTCATCCTCTCGGGCGCATCTGACAACCCCCTCTCCCTCTCTCCCTGTGCTCACCGGGCCCGGGACCGCTCCCACGGCGGTTCCATTGTGTCCCCATCAGCCTCCCCCTCCTCCCCCCGGCGACACAGCTCTGCGCGGCCTCCCAGCCCTTCTGCCCCACCAGCGCGGCCGTGTCCCCGGAGCCGCCCGCGCCCCGCCCGTACCCAGCACAGCTCGGTCATCTGGTGCACCAGCTGCTGGAAGCGCTGCTTCTGCGTCTCCACCTCGATGAAGCGCTGGAGCTGCGGGTCGGCGCCGCCCAGCCCGGCGCCGGACGGCGAGTCCATGGCGGCCCTGGAGCCCCCCGCTGTCCCCGCGGTGTCCCCCCGGTCCCTCCCGGTGCCGCCGCGCCGCGACCTTCACGTGCCGCCGGTGCCGCGCCCGCCCCTTCCGCCCGCGCCGCGCGTGCGCCCCGCGCCGCGCGCGCCCCCTGCCGGCCGGGAGGACCCGCGCAGCCCGGACGGGATGGGGGAGTTTATTGTCCATGAGCGGGGGAGAGTGGGATGGGGCTCCGGGGACGGCATGGGGCTCCAGGGGTGATGGAGCTCCGGGGGTGCGATGGAGCTCTGGGGATGTGATTGAGCTCCAGGGCGGTGACAGAGTTCTGGAGATGTGATGGAGCTCCAGGGATGTGACAGAGGTCTGGGGTGTGATGGAGCTCTGGGGATGTAGTGGAGCTCCAGGGAGGTGATGGAGCTCTGGGGCAGTGATCGGGCTCCAGGGTGGTGATGGGAGTTCCAAGGCAGTGATGGAGTTCCAGAGTGGTGATGGAGTTCTGGGGATGTGATAGAGCTCCAAGGCGGTGATGGAGTTCCAGAGTGGTGATGGAGTTCTGGGGATGTGATAGAGTTCCAAGGGGGTGATGGAGTTCCAGGGTGGTGATTGAGTTCTGGGCATGTTATGGAGCTCCAAGGCAGTGATGGAGCTCTGGGGCAGTGATAGAGTTCCATGGGTATCCCCGGACTCCCCCGGGCCCCAGGTCCCCCCGTGCCGTGTCCGTGACAGCAGTGCCGCGGTGCCACCCGGCACACGGGTCTGTCCGGGCGGGCAGTGCCAGCGCTGGGCAGGGCTCGGCGGGCGGTGCCCATGGTCAGCACTCCTCGTCAGCGATGTCCAGGATGCTGCCCAGCAGCGCGGTGAAGGTGGGGCGCTCCTCAGCCTTCTGCCAGGCGAGAGGGGAGCAGTGATGGAACCGGGTCTGCCCCTGCACCCCGGGGAGCCCTATCACCCACCGGGGCGGCTGGAGGGGGTCTCTGGGGGTGGGATCCACTCACCTCGTGCCAGCAGCTATACATGATGGCGTAGACCCGCTCCGAGGCCGCCTGCGGCCGGTACAGGCGCAGGCCTTGGATGACGTGCTCCGTTGTCTCGCTGTTGTTAAACCTCTCATAAGGCATCTTCCCCAGGGAGTAAACTTCCCACATCAGAACGCCTGTTGGAGGGAATGGCAGGGAGAGCTTGTGGCATGGGAGCGCCTGCGCCTGACCCTAGTTTGCAGGGGGGTTCGCTGCTGTTGGGGTGCTCTTCCCGAGTCATTAATTCCATGCTCTTACCAAAGGACCAGACGTCAGACTTGCTGCTGAACTTGCTGTACAGAAGCACCTCAGGAGGAGACCACCGCACTGGAAACTTGGACCCCATGGAGCTTGTGTACTCGTCATCTAGAACGTACCTGCAGCAGATAAATGGATCAGGGTGCCTGCCTTGGTTTTCCCATTTCACTCCTCCATGCAACCCACCAAGCCCGAAAGGAATGGGCAGCTCTCAGAGTGACAAGGGGTTTCAGTCAGCATGGGCTTCAGCAGGCAAAAATCTCCCTTTGCAAACAAATGTGTGCTAGTGAAGATTGGGGAAGGGATAGGGTGGCACAGAGGCACAGCCAAAAGGGGATGTGGGGAGAAAGCTGCAGCCAGGAGACTAGAGGTGGGGGAAAGAAGATGCAAAGAGGAGGGGGAAAGGGCTGGGGTGAGTAAGAAAGGGACAGTGGAAAGTGAAGAGGCAGAAGCTTGAGCCGGGCAGATGAAACAGAAAGACAGGAGAAGACAATGGGAGAGCAGAGCTGGAGGATGTTGGGAGCAAAGACTAAAGTGAAGACTAGACTGAAGGAGGAGATGGGGGATTGAGGCAAAAAAGTGACACAGACATGTCTACCAGACCTGGAAAGACCAAAATCTGATACTTTCACAATTCCTTGGTCATTCACCAAACAGTTTCGAGCAGCCTGTGGACAGAGAGATAGAGGCAATTACTCCTGCCTGATATTGCCTCTCCCATCCCCCTGTACCAGCTGAACTCATCCCCACCCACTTAACACTTCACTTCACTTTGTCCTGTAAGTTCACCTGGGTGGGGGCAAGCTACAAAGTCATCAGCCAATAGAGCAAAAGAGGCCTCCAAGCATCCTGTTTATCTGTGGAGGAGCGACTTCCCTCGTGGGATTTTCCCTGAACAAAGCAGCACCAGGAGATCAGGTATGGCAGGATGGCCAGTTGGCAATGCTAGCCCAAAGCCTGACAAACTGCAGGCCCAGCTTTTCATGGGGGTCAAGAGGAGGTCTCTTTTCATGTCTGAGCCAGTGATGCCTGTGCTACCGAACACAAACCCTGCCCCAGCCACAGATGCATTTCACATCTCCTGGAAAACTATCTAGTCCTGCCTTTTCTGCAATCTCTTCCTGCCTGCAGGGAAGGGACTGCAGAGCATCCCACCCATGGGTGGGCAGGGAAGCTTAGAGAGGTGTTCTGCAGAGGAGGCTGCAGAGCTGCCTCTCCTCGTATTGATGAACTATCTGGACCCTGTCCAGGACGCGCTGTGGCTGTTGCTAAGCTGGACGTGTGCCCTTCAGCCACAGCCCTACCAGGTCTCGGTGCAGGAACTGCTTGGATTCCAGGTACTCCATAGCTTCACAGACATCCTTGCACATCTCCAGCAGCTCGGCAGGCTGGAACCGCTGCCGAGTTTCCCTCAGGAAGTTCAGGAGGCAGCCGTTGGCCATGTACTCCGTGATGATGAAGATGGGACGCTGCTTAGTGCAGACCCCGTAGAGCTGCACCAGCTTCTCATGAGACAGGTTCCTGTGTTGGGGACAAGGCAATTCTGAGCATCTAGAAGGCCAAGCAGCAAAAGAAGCACCTGTGAATAAAGAGAGTTTGGGAAGGGAAGGTGCTCCAGATCCAGCTGACAGTGGAAAAACTCACTAAGGAATCAACACAAAGTCTCAGATGCATTTTGCAGAGTGTGGCACTGCCCAGGACTGTCCCTGACACCACCCAGGAGTGCAGCCACTCTGCCAAGGTGTGCCCAGCACTGACCTGCACTGTGCTCACCACTTACATCATGACTTTGGCTTCGTCTATAAACTCATCCTCTGACATGGAGCCCTCCCTGATCATCTTGATGGCGACGTCGTACTGGCCCCTCCACTTCCCGTACTTCACCACTCCAAACTGCCCCGTGCCGAGTTCCTTCAGGAAGGTCAGATCCTTGGGGTCGATCTCCCATGACCCTAGGACAGAGTGTGAGCATAATGTGGCTGGAGGTGACCTCTCCACAGGGTGCTCCCAGTCATCTGGTCTAGCATGGCCAAGAAAAGCTCACGAGCTTTTGCTCCCTGAAAAACCATCCACAAAAACATCCACAGAAGAATCTGAGACCTGTTCCTCCATGGGATGGGGAGCAAGGTAGATTGTGGGGTCTCTTGGTCAGTACTGTCACCAGAGGGCAAGGGAGTGTAGAGAAGTGATTCCTGGGAATGCTATGAGCCCTGCTGCCATGGAACAGCCAGGATCCCAGTCCTGGAAAATTGCTGCCAGTAGGGACAGACCCTGCAGCCAGCCCAGGCTGGCTTACCATAGCCAAGGCCAGCTGTGGAAGGGGCACTTTTCTGGTGCTGGGACACGGGGTACTTCAGTCTGGATATGAGCCCTGAAAAACAAAAACGTGGATTGCCACACTAGGCTTACCTGCCACATTCCAACAGGGAACACGAGCCTCCTGCCTTCAGCACAGGAAGGTGAGGGTACCATGGTGTCAGTAAAAACACTGCTGGCTTCAGTGTGTCTCCCTAACACTGACCTGCAGAGTTGTGCTGGTGGTATGTGATGAGCTCTGGGATGCTGTTGAACAGGTGCTTTTCTGCCAGGTAATACTGGTTCTGGGGGGTGCAGCACACCACGTAGTGGCGGATCGTACCCTGGGGGTCTCTGGAGAGAGAGTATGTAGGGTCAGTGGCATGGGGAGGACAGGCAGAGGGTGAGGGTTGCCTGGGGGAGCCCTCTGAGGGAGGAACAAGCTGTTGTGAGATCCACTTACACAGAGGACTTGGCATAGACGGAGACAGTGTATTTCCCTGTCTTGCTGGTGGAGTCTCGGACGATGAAGCCCCCTTCCTTACCCTAAAACAGAAGGGGGAAAGGGCACTGGGTGGTTGTTGGGAGGTGTGACTGTAACAGGCAAGACTTGAAGTGAGTGAAGATCACAGCATGGCTGGAGAAGGTGCAGTGAGTCAGAGGAGTCCTAAATCCAGTCTCTGCCTGTGGGGCCACCTCCTGAAGTGACTGCTCAGAGGAGGTCATGTTAGGATAGAGATGGTTCTTGGGGCTGTTGGGGCAACACTCCCTCCCAGCACAAGCCAGGCTTGGTCCCATGCTGGGCACAATGTGAGAACAGCCCATGGAGGGCTGGTGTGTAGAACAGACCCAGGCTCAGGAGGCAACACTTACCTCCTGTTTCAGCAGTTGCTCTGCTTGGCTCCGAGTGATATTCTTTGAGTACCACCTGAAACAGGGACACAGCCATCAGGGAAATCCCAGCCACCATTGTCCCCAGCCTAGTCTGACCCTGGCCCAGCCAGGAGAGGTGGTGCAGAGAGCACCATGGGCCTGCCACGGGGCTGGAGGCTTCCAAAGGGTGTGCGAGAGGGAGAGCGACCCAGCCAGGCTGGGTTAGCAGAACTGAATGGAAAGCTGAATGGAAGAACTGAATGGAAAAAGTCTCCAACCAAGTGCAACTTGCCAGGCCCCCGTGCCTTCTCTTACTCAAAGATCTCCAGGGAATTGCTGGTTTCAGTGACGTAGTTGCTGGGGATGTATCCTTCCCTCCTGTAGGAGAAAAGGGGCTGGTTACACACTGATGGAGGAGGCCAAGGGGATGGGGTGTTCCTGTTCCAGGAGGCTGAGTAGAAATGGGCTTAAAAACCTTGATGCAACCCCATCTTTGTTCATGTCTGGGCAGGGCTGATAGCCCAGCCTGCTTCAGCCTCCCTCACCCTCCTCCCTGGGGAGGCCACAGGTGGGCAGGCAGGGATGTGTTTGCCCACCAGTGCCTGGGCACCAGGCCAAGTGCCAGGGCAGTGGAAGCTCTTACCCGTT